TGACCTGGTAGCACGTTCTTTAGCTAAATTGATTCCAATGCTGGGAGTTTATTTTATTTTATTTTATTTTAAATAATTTTTATTAAAGTTTCAATAAAAAGTTAAACAGCAAAGACATAAAAAAGAAATACACAAATACACAATACAAATCCCAGAAAAAAAGAAACAAACACAAAAAATAAAAAACAACAAAAAAAGAAACAGAACAATTAAAAACAATATCACCTTTTCATTTCCTTTTTTGAATTTACTTATTTTCTGGACTTCCTCATACCTCCCACTTTTGTATTCCAGTCCAAATTGTTTATCCAGCAATTTCTTTTCCACTTTTTTAATCCCAGTCTTTAATCTTAGTGTAATATAGCATTAAAATTTTACCTCTTAAGTACCAAATTTCCCTTTCCTTTAACTTCTTTACTCCTAATCTTTAGTCTTGATATAATATAGCATTAAAATTTTACCTCTTAAATATCAAATTTCCATTTCCTTAAACTTCTTTAATCCTAATCTTTAAACTTAGTCTGTCTATAATTTTATCCTGTACAGCTGGAAACCCCTTATTTTCAATCCAACATCACTCTAACATTCTTTAATTTTGCAATGTTTCTATAGGTAGTCTTTGAATTTCTTCCAATCTTCCTCCAATGCTGGGAGTTTAAAAGAGGAAGGAGAGGGGCAAAGGGAAAGCAGGCAGATGGATAAAAGCACCTTGGCACAGCTATGCTCTGCTTGTAAATAAAAGCAAGTATTACAGAGGTGCCCAAAGTCTCCAGTGTGTGCTCTCAACCAATGCAAACTAATCTTGGGCCACGAGCTATTGTGGCATTAATTAAACGGGGAAGTTTTTCGTGTTTGATGCTGTGTTTTTTTACTATTTTGGGTTGAAAGCCTCCCAGAGTGGCTGGGGCAGTCAAGTCAGATGGGAGGCATATAAATAAAATTATTAATTATTATTATTATTATTATTGGCTATACCTACCTTTTTTAAAAAAAATAAGAAGCGGCTATTAAAAGCCTAAAGCCAGCTGACCTCCCAAGCTCCGCAAATTCTCCGGGAATGAACGGATGTCTTGGGAATAAGAAAACCCTTTCATCATGAACGCTCTGGAAAAAGATGAGCTGGGACAGGCAACAAGTTGCTGCAAAGGGAGGAGGAGGCGGCAGGAAGAGAGGCCAGCAAAGGCATTTGGCAGTGCGAGGGTCCCCCTTTCATCACCACTGAAGTGTGCTGCTTCCTGCTATTGAGAACAGCAACGCTGAAAGCCAGTGAAACACACCAAGGGAAGCTCCACAATGCACAGGTTTGTTCCCCAGGAGCTCCAGGCTCTGCCAAGGTCAGAGCGCCTGCCAGGCCCCAGATAAAGTCTAGCTTGTGAGACCGTGCCACATCTGTCGGCACAGGGCAGCGACACCCGGGAGCTCGTGCCATCCGCCGTTAACTTAGCTGTTCCCTGGTCCCAACAGCTCCTGCCTTGGATGGCATAAGGGGCTCCAGAGTTCTTTGGGGGGCAATTCCTTTATTGTTGTTGTTTAGTCGTTTAGTCATGTCCGACTTCCACTGCCTCCCGCAGTTTGGTCAAACTCATGCTGGTAGTTTTGAGAACACTGTCCCACCATCTCGTCATCTGTCGTCCCCTTCTCCTTGTGCCCTCCATCTTTCCCAACATCAGGGTCTTTTCCAGGATCTGTCCTTCCAGTGAGCACTCAGGGCTGATTTCCTTCAGAATGGAGAGGTTTGACCTTCTTGCAGCCCATGGGACTCTCAAGAGTCTCCTCCAGCACCATAATTCAAAAGCATCAATTCTTCGGCGATCAGCCTTCTTTATGGTCCAGCGCTCACTTCCATACATCACTACTGGGAAAACCATAGCTTTAACTATACGGACCTTTGTTGGCAAGGTGATGTCTCTGCTGTCTAGGTTTGTCATTGCTTTTCTCCCAAGAAGCAAGCATCCTTTAATTTTGTGACTGCTGTATTAGGTCAACCAAAAAGCTTTCAAATCCTCCAAAGCTGCTCATTAGGGCTAAATCTGGCTGTGGCAAAGCAACTGGAGGGCAGCAGGTTGGGGGAAGGCCGAGCTAGATGGTCAGGGAAGAAGCAGGAGGGGAACTGGGCTGGTTGAAACGAAGACTCCCGTTCCAGCAATCCCAATGTTTATTTGTTTTGCTGTTTTGTCCAGCTCTCAACTGGCTAATCTGGTTTTAGCCTCCACTGTGCCCCAGTCCACGTAGGGTCAATAATAATAATAATAATAATAATAATAATAATAATAATAATTTTATTTGTACCCTGCCCACCTGACTAGGTTGCCCCAGCCGTCCTGGGCAGCTTCCAGCATATACAAAAAGATAATCAAACATTGAAAACCTCTTTTAGATGTATTTCCCTCAGCCACGTTGAATTCTCACAGCCACCTAGACCTCTTTACAAGCTTTTCGATTTTTTTATTTATTTCGACTGCGTCAGACCAACACAGCTACCTACTTGAATCTACGATATTAATATGTTTATCCATGTTGCGTGTAAAATATAAAGGTAAGTGAAATAACAGTCCATTTGCTGCTCCCCAAAAAGGTACATCAACATGTGTTTTTTCCCCCCCATGGCCTCGTGGAAAGGGTAGACCTGGCAAAAGAGCCCCATCTGTTCTCCCATCCTCAAAACTTCTGAGAACGTGCCGAGATTCCCCAGGGAGACGGATCTGCTCACTGTATGATGAGAAGGGAAAGGGAGTGAGGGGGCCGGTGACACTGTGGATCAAAGAACCGGGCTTCAGAGGTCGTGTGCCAGGGGCAAAGCGATCCCGGCAGCATCTATGGGCCTCCTGGCTTCTCCTGGTGAGGCGGAAACGCAGGTCTACGGCCCACTCATGGGAAAGCACAGGAGTCATCAGAGGGGCTTTTAAAAAACAGGAAGAGGACTACAAAGGGATGGAAGGGCAAGGGAGGAGGAGACTTCTGAAGCCTGCACTTTAAACATCCCCAAAGCGGTGCCTTGCTTTCAAGATGCTCCAGGGACTATTTCTAATATTTCTGGATTAAAACAACAACAGCCACCCCATCACATTTCTCCTTCCCTACTCAACTTTCCTCCCTTGCCCGAAATGCAAGCATTAGCTTGCTTACCTGCTCTCTCTCTCTTCCACCCCCACTCAGTCTTTACACTCCTTTATACCCCTCTCCCGCCTCGCCAGATGGATCAGCCAAACTCCAGGTGTCAGGAACAGGCCCATCACATGTCACTGGGCAGCTAAAAGATGAGTCAGGCCAGCTCTCTCCACTAGTGGAGGCTGCCCAGCAGCCTTCCCTATCCTCAGCCCTCCAAATGTTCTGGCAGTGGCCGACTTGGGTACCATGCTGCCCTGTGCAAGGCCAAAATACGTCCCCTACCTGTCCTTGCCCTGCCTTCCCAAAAACGGGCTTTGGGGAGGAAGTGCAAGGACTCAAGGACCCCGTCAGAGCCTCACGCCACCTTCCCAAAGGCCAGCGCCTTGCTTACAACTCCTGCTTGGCTCAGCGCACAGTGTGGGGGCACCAATCACAGTCCAAAATCTGCCCTTGGTTCTGGGCTGCCCTGGCTGGGGCGGGTAGGAATTGTAGCTGGGGAAGGCTGCCCTATAGTTTCATGAAAGATCATTCCAAACAGTCTCTGGTTTTGATTTAGGGGTAGAAACTAATAATAGGTTAAAGTATAGCTCTGTTGCGGCAGATATTTCTATTAGACCAGGGTCCTCCCATTTAATGCAGCTGCGCATGTCTTTTAATGAACTGAACATACTAAAAGATTATGAGGGCTTGGGGAGGGTGAGAGAAGTTTGTGTGTGTGAACTTAATAGCGTTTGGCTTATTTTTTAGTTGCTATTTTGTTAATAGCTTTCCAGATTATAAATGCCTTTTTGATTTCTTTATCGTACAACATGACACATGCTGTAACTGTGATGCTTAACTTATTTTTTACAGTGAGGGGGGAAAGCATTTGATCCCCTGCTAAATTTGCCCGTTTGCCCTCTGACAAAGAAATGACCAGTCCATAATTTTAATGGTAGGTTTATTGTAGCTGCGAGAGACAGAATAACAACAGGAAAACCCTCAGAAACCCAGAAGACAAAAGTCAGAGATTGGTGTGCATTATAATGAGTGAAATAAGTATTTGATCCCTTTGCAAAAGATGACTTAGCACTTGGTGGCAAAACCCTTGTTGGCAATTACAGAGGTCAGACGTTTCTTGTAGGTTGCCACCAGGTTTGCACACATCTCAGGAGGTATTTTGTCCCACTCCTCTTTGCAGATCCTCTCTAAGTCAGTAAGATTTTGAGGCTGACTTAGCAGGGGATCAAATACTTTCCCCCCTCACTGCAGTTGCTGTTTTGCTAATGGTGTTTTATGGATAGTAATGGCTTCACCGATTTGTTAATGATATTATATGATGTATGCTGTGATGTTCTTTATGTTTTTGTCATTTATTGTTTGTAAGCTGGGATTCGTTTGAATGGAAAGCAATAAACCCAAATAAAATCGTGAGAAAGGCTGAAGGTGGATCTGCGTCACAGGCAGACAGACGCAAAGAAAGCTATGAGGGCAGGAGGCTGGGTAAATGCACGACTGACATAAGACTGCAGGGTCTCTACCAAGGATGCAAACAGTAGCAAACCAGCTACTTGCTGTAAGCTCAGGTCCCTCAGGACACCGGGGTGGGCTTCCAGTCTGTGTTTTTTGGCAAAAAAGCAAGGGACTCCTTGACTGTGCATTTGTGGTTGGAAGCAGTGATGCCCAAGGAATAAAAAGTTCCTCCAGGCAGAATCCTTCGGCCCAGGTCCAAGGTAAGGTGCATCCCATCAGATAGCGGCTGGATCTCAGTGCATCCATGGCCCTTGTGCTAATAACCTCCCCCTTGGCTCTGCCGGCTGCTGCAGAAGCGAGGATCCCTGTTACAGGAAGCTGGTCGAGTCTGTCCTTAAGCGCTCGCTCAGACAGGTGATTCCTGAGGAAAGGATCTGTCCTCACTTCCTGGAAGACTGGCTGCCTGCAGAGGAGAGAGAGGGAGGGAGGGAAGCTATCAGCTAAAGCAGAATTCAGGACTGAGCACCTCAGCCTGGGGGGGGGGTGAGGCTATGCCCACAATGGCCACGTCCTCTAGGGGATTAACAGGGAGTCTGTGGTGCCAGAGGAAGTGGACCGTTTACTGTAAGACAGAGTCACAGTCACTTTGTTATTTACCTATTACACGTTACTGCTTCCTCATTCATGGCTTAGTCTCTTCACCAGCTAAGGACATCCTGGATGCTCAAAGGGAAGGGCTGCATACTTAAGAACACATCTTTTCCCATCACTATGGCAAACTCTCTGGGAGCAGCAGGGTTGCAAGCTGCTTCCCAAGTTTGCCTCTGTGCATGTGATCCGCAACAGCAGCAGCAGAGTCCTGAGGTTGGGGAAGGGCCCCGCTGCTTCTTTGCCCTTCCTCCAGTTCATAGCCCCCACCCTGCCTGGCTCCTTGCTGTCTCAAGACTGGGACCTCCCCCCTCCCCGAAAACAAATTAGCTCCTTTGCATTGTTTGCTCAGTTTCCTGCCTTCAAAATGGGGCTGTGCCCTCTTCAATTTGAGAATTAATCAATGTCCGTGAAGCCATCAGCAAATGAAGGATGACTACAGGAGCTGCTTATTTTTTAAACCAGGCAAAAATTTGGAGTAAGGCTGCCTTCAAAGAAAAAGAAGAAGAAGAAGAAGAAGAAGAAGAAGAAGAAGAAGAAGAAGAAGAGTAGTTTGGATTTGATATCCCGCTTTATCACTACCCTGAGTCTCAAAGCGGCTCACAATCTCCTTTCCCTTCTTCCCCCACAAAAAACACTCTGTGAGGTGAGTGGGGCTGAGAGACTTCAGAGAAGCGTGACTGGCCCAAGGTCACCCAGCAGCTGCATGTGGAGGAGCAGGGAAGCGAACCCGGTTCACCAGATTACGAGTCCACAGCTCATAATCACTACACCACACAAAGCCCCATGAGATCCCTGGGCTACTTCCACCTGATCCAATTTGTATCCTGGAGCGAAATTTCCCTCTTTAGGGCTAGCAAGCCGAAAAGGTTTGAGGAAGCTGCGCTCAGGCCTTTCTCCTTTGACCAGCACAAGACTTGCTTCGTCAGGTAAGAAATCTTACTGCTTAAAATGTATGGAAGGGTTAGAAATGTGTTGTCTTGAAGACAATGGAGATGGTGGCCCGAACTGGGAAGGGCAACCACAAAAACCAAGTCATGCCACTAACAGGCAAAGGAAGGGGGAAGGAAGAAACTCCAGCTGCTATTTTCTTGCAAGCCTCGGAGCTTTTTAAAAAAGCGGTAATGTGGGTTTGCATTATGAGAGCGCCACAAACCGTCAAGCTGACACTGCATGGAGGACCTGGGCTTCCTGTTCCACTCATGTGCCCAGAAGTTCAGTTCCACTTTCCCTGGAAAGCGGGAAGCACGGGGGCTTCAGAGACCGCTTTCTTGGCCAGTGTGCACTTTCCGCATTTCAGCCACACTTCCTTTTCAGCGTGACAATGAGCCAGCGGCAGGAGCGAAGCAGGAAGAGCAGGAGGACTCGTGTGCGTGTTAGCAGAGCCCTCTTGATCCAGGCTGGACAGAGCTCCTATCGCAGGAAACAGAATGCAGAGGCAACGGGAGTAAACAGAGGGTGGGGGGCGGGGGCGGGGGGCAGCAGGGGGGCAGCAAGGAATGCTTGACAGAGCGTGAGGCCAGAAGAAAAAAGCATCGAACCTGCCTGGAAAGCAGCTCCTCATTCCTAGTACCAGCTGTGCTAACCTTCTCATTTCGTGGACGTGATGAGGATGAGAACACTAAAAAAAAACCCTCTCCCTTTCCCGTCCTTCCGTCTGCTGCATGGCAAAGGAAGATGCCAGCTGCCATTCAAGTTGCTGACTTGGGCCCCAGGCTATGGGTGCTCAATGGTGCCGCTCAATGGTGCCCGCGACGTAACGTGATGTCATGATGTCACGTTGCGCAGGCATGCCGCAGCAGCGCTTCTGAGGTTGTGCGGTGTAAAGCCAGTGTGGTGTAGTGGTTCAGAGCGGTGGACTCGTAATCTGGTGAACCGGGTTCGCTTCCCTGCTCCTCCACATGCAGCTGCTGGGTGACCTTGGGCCAGTCACGCTTCTCTGAAGTCTCTCAGCCCCACTCACCTCACAGAGTGTTTGTTGTGGGGGAGGAAGGGAAAGGAGATTGTGAGTCGCTTTGAGACTCCTGAAGGGGAGTGAAAGGCGGGATATCAAATCCAAACTCTTCTTCTTCTTCTTCTGTGTGGGTCCCTGGAGGTCACGTCCAAGGCCTCGCCAGACGTCGTATCGAACATCGCCTCAGGCCTCCAACGCAGCTTCCGGTACCAAACTGGAAGTTGTGTCCAAGCCCCCACAATTTTTTTGTTTGGTTGCCCAGGCACCCAGGGCCCCTAGAGATGGCACCAGTGCAGCTATCGCCGAAGCCCCTGGAAGGAACTACCCTAGAGAAGCATGCACACTTCTCCAACACAATCCTTTTCTTAACCCGTCTGGCTGTGTGCCATCAAGCAATGAAGTATTATTTATCTGTTATCCACCCTAATACCTCAGAGCAGGTTACAGCAGCAAAGCACAGTATTAAAAACAATTTACAATAACAACCATAAAAAGAAGGTGAGTCCCAAAAACACACACCTCCCTCAGGTGGCAAAAGACAGGGTCAAAGATGTTTCCTGGAACCAGCCCAGACCATGCAAAATATTATACGGAAGTTTATGCTCCCACGTGTAGGAGTGAATCTCTCGTGGAGATTCCTGCTGAGGGCTCCTGCTGAGCTCTCACACAGACTCCTCACAAAATAAGGCGATTTTGCTCTTACTCTGCCTGCTCCTTGACGAGGATCCAGAAGAGCCAGGGCGGCTGGTCTGCTGGGGCCCAGACTGGGAGAACTGGGGAGCGATGGTTGGGATTTTGCCCCTTCCAGGCCTGGCACTCGGGAAGTCCGGGGAGCAAGGGAGCCTGGGTTTGCTGGGGAGGCCAGGAAGGAAGTCGCTGCAAGAGGGAGAAAAGGAATTAAAAAAACGGGGGACAGAGCAGCCTTTGCGACTTGGAAAAAGATGGGATATTAATCTTCTGAATTAATGAAGTCAACTGAGCACCACAAGACAAGGCAGAAGTTTGCAAGGAGTCTGGAATTCTGCAACAAAAGACCCTGAATCCTACAACATTTTGAAAACATATTGGATTAGCATTAATTGACATGGCAGACTTTCTTCTGGCTGGCATCAGCCTTGTAACGAAATTGTTAAGTACCCGTTAAACAACTGACACGCTAGCAAGGAACAGCATTCATACCATTTATTCAGGCAAACGTCTCACATAAATTCTTCCTCAAAATTCACATTTCCCTTTAAATACTTTAGCTTAACCTTCCTCAGTCTGACCCTACAACAGCTGCTTAAGTAAACGGCCCCTGAAGTGAATGCACATTCTCCACCTTCCTCTGGGGCTGTCCAATGCTAGTTTGTAACCTCCTCAGGGCAGGAACCTGTCCTCTTGCACTATGTAAAGCAGTAGATGCATCATATAACAGCAGGTGTTGTTAATAACTATGGAGAAGCTGCAGAAAGGAAGCCTGGGTCTTCCATTTGTCTCAGGGCTGAGTCCCAGAACTTCCTTTCATAAGGAAGGAGGAAGAGCCGGCTGCATCAGGCCCATGTCCCATCTAGTCCTTCCTCCTGTTCTCACAGTGGCCAATCAGATTCCTGTGGGAAACCGGAAAGCAGGATCCGAGCACAAGAGCCCTCTGCCCACCTCCTGTGGTTTCCAGCAACTGGGATTCAGAAACATGTCTGCCTCCAAATGTGGCCATCAGGGCCAGTAGCCATTGATAGCCCTCTCTTACACGAATTTGTCTAATTCTGTTTTAAAGTCATCCCGGTTGGTCACCATCAATGCTTCCTGCAGAAGCGAGTTCCACAGTTTAACTAGTTTAACTGCTGGGAAAAGCTCAGAGTCAGGCTGGGTTTACATGCAGCCTCAGGCCATGTGAAAACTTGCCTCTGGGCATGGACAAAGTGAACACACACACACACACACACACACACACACACACACAATACTGCCTGTCTGCGACTTGGGGCTTAGGAAAAACCGATTTCTGGGCAAAGGTAGTGCTCATGCCTTTCCTCCCCTCTTCTTGGTTTATTTGGTTTTTTAAAACTAAGCACAGAACACTCCGTTGTTAAGAGGTTCTCTGGCTGCCTTAACAGCGGCCCCTTTAACTACGAACCAATGCTGAAAAACAACTTCAACAGTTTGCAGGGGATTCCAATTTTTGGGATTCATAGTTAATGTTAAGTACAGACCCTGTGTTTCATATCGATTTCTCAATTTGTGGGGTGCTGAAAAACGCAGGGGTTTCGCTGCAAAAAAACCAACTGCAAAACTTTGGCACAGGTTAATTTTCCTCTTAATAGCCAGGTTGTGGCCCGACAGGCAAGGAGCAACTCAGATGCAGGAAAGGAGTAAAAAGTGATAGATTCCTGAGATGTCTCAGTTATAGAGAAGCAATTAAAATGGGACCTCAAAGGGTCTCTCACAAACAGGCCAACACAGACACCCCATCAAAGAAAGTCACTGTGAGGGGTGGGGGTGGGGGGTGTTTGAAAAAAGCAGGACTCTTCCCTCTTGAAAGGAATGTGGATGAGTTTGCAGAGCTTCCTCCACAGCCACCTGCCAGAGAGGTGGCCATTAGAGTTAACAACCTCCCAGCTTCTCCATTTCCTCAAACTGCTCCCATTGTTTGAGACTTTGCTTTTGCAAACTGTTGCCATTGATGGCTCAGGCCTGCTAATAAGGCAGTAAAAACTCTCTTTGAACTGCCTTTCGGCCGCCCTGTTTGCTTGCTTCTTTTTACAGCCCTCTCTGCTATCTTTTCAGAAGATCTTGCCAACCCCCTTTCCAGTCGAGCAGGAAGCCTCTGGTCAAAAATAATAAATAATAAAAATACAGAGATCATTATCTGGTAGAATCTCATAGTTAGAAATTGAACTCAGAGGGGTCCAGAACCAAATGGAGCGGATTCTAAATGTTTCATTTAGCAAAACAGGCTGTAATGGCTTGTGGGCCATTTCTAAACACATGGTCCCCCTCCCCGCAACTTTCATGATGCTCACTTCTTGTGCAATGATCTATTGGTATCTGACAGGTATTATCGATGATATCTGGAATGTATACAGACATGGACACTTGCTAAAGAACTGACGGCTTCTATTTAAATTTCAGTTTGAGATGAGATAGGCCTTTTGCCCAACCCATGGGAGCACCAGCCACGGAGCAGCCTTAGTACATCTAAATTCCCTGGTTCTATATTTTGGGAATTGCCTCTAGCAGCTTGGGTGGGGGTGGGGGCAGATGCTGGTGGAAATGGCACAAGGGGGAAAGGGTTTCAAGCCAGCCAGCCAGCCAGCCAGCTCGTTCTGCCCCCAGCCCCAGTTCCATTCAGGGGCCTTCGTGGTTCCTTTTAAGCTCAGAAAACAACCTGTTCAGACATCCTGCGTCACGTCTGGTCTGGCCAAAACGTGCTCCATCAGCGAGCCCTTGTGGCTCTCCCCTCTCTCCTCTCTTCAAACTCACAAAGTAGAGGGAGAATACAGGGGGCTGTCTTATTTATTTATTACACCTTTCCTCCAAGGAGCTCATGACACTGTACATTGTTCTCCCTTTCCGCCATTTTACCCTCACAACCCTGCAAGGTCGATTAGGCAGAGAGAGAAGGAGCCATTTGCCCAAGGTCACCCAAAGAGCTTCACAGCTGGGCAGGAATTTGAACCCTGGTCTCTCCCAGGGACTAGTCTGACATCTGACCACTATCTCTTGGTCTGCCTTGATGAGTGCTGCCTGCTCTGGTCTTCCCCGGCCTGCCTGGTGCCCTCCAAAGGCAGGTGCCAGGCGTTGAATCTTTGAGCCTTAACAAGGAATGCATGTGACATACGCTCAGTGGAATTTGCCTTCAGGGAAAACAGTTTTTATTGGGGATACACAAACCAGTGCCTTAAATCACATCCAGATATAAAGCACCTGACAAGGCCATCGCAGCATCTCCCTCGATCTCCGTATGTGACGTAAGTCAGCATTAACCAACCGCAACATCATGACCCAACCGCAACATCATGACCCAACCACAACCGGAGGGCAAATCAGTCGAGCTGGCGGTGGGAATGAGCAGGGCTTCCGTGATATGACGACGACTAGGTGCTACTCTGGCAGGAAGAAGAAAGGGGGGCATGTGAGACATCCGCCACAGAGACATAAATCTTTATCTACTGGCTCTCTGTGTTCTCTCGCTTTCTTGGGAGAAACCACCTTGAAGGCACGCAAGCGAAAGAAAAGAAATTCTGCTCTGGTGACTCATAAGCCACAAATAATTGGGGGAGAGAATAAAACACAAGTAGAACAATGTTCTCTCACCTTCCCACCCACGCCAGGAAACATTTACCGTATTTTTTGCTCTATAAGACTCACTTTTTCCCTCCTAAAAAGTAAGGGGAAATGTGTGTGCGTCTTATGGAGCAAATGCAGGCTGCACAGCTATCCCAGAAGCCAGAACAGCAAGAGGGATTGCTGCTTTCGCTGCGCAGCGATCCCTCTTGCTGTTCTGGCTTCTGGGATTCAGAATATTTTTTTCTTGTTTTCCTCCTCCAAAAACTAGGTGCGTCTTATGGTCTGGTGCGTCTTATAGAGCGAAAAATACGGTAGTTATCTTTCTAATATTACAACCAGGGAATCATTCAGGTATAGCATGGCATATACAGGGGGGGACGGACTCACCACTACTTAGCTGGGATCAAAATGCAGCGTACCAGAGAATCACATAGCGTGCCAGGGACCCAAGAACCTCAGGGCTGTATTCAACTAACTTTTACTCAGAGTAGACCCTCTGGAATTAATGGCCAGGAGTAACTTAGTTCCATTAATCTCTGCAGGTCTACAGTGAGTAAAAGTTTGTTGAATGATCAGCTTCATTTCTACGAAGTGTAAGCAGGTAATCCTCATGGCTCCACAGAAAAAAACATCTAAAGATGCGCTAGCACATAAAAGCTTAAGAGAACACCTACCATCTCTGGTCATGAGGCACAGTGGGATCAAGCAGTCCATATCTATCTATCTATCTATCTATCTATCTATCTATCTTTTATCTGAACTCATCTCCTACAAGTGACTGTGGGACAAAAGCAAGGCACTCGGGTATCTTACTGTCCTGGAAAAGAGTGTTCTTCAAGGATTTCCCTATCCAAGTAACCCTGCACAAATAGAACCATGGGACCTTGGGATGAGTTCATTCTTCTTATGGTTTCTCCAGATCACTTTCTTCCCTGCTCAAGAACCCGTGCAGCTGTTAACTCCGCTGTCGTGCAAGACTGAAAACTATTTGCCCACCGTGGAGCTTCATTTATGGAGCTACCACGTTTTCAGAGCATCCACACATTTTCTTGCCATTTCCTCCCTTAGCCACTGTGAGCATCTGCGTGGGCTGCAGCTGCACAAAAGGGCATCAGTGGATGGCAACACAAAGAGTTGGGGCTGATGCTAAGCTGTGCCTGAACAGGAACCCAGCGGGAGCCCTGCTGAAACTGCTTGGAAACTGCCAAAAATGAAGAGTGAAAGGTAAGTAATATAAATAAATCCCCTCTTCACCAGAACCCAGGGGCCAAATGTAGCTCTCCAGGCCTCTCTGTCTGGGCACCCACCTCAGTGGCCCTGATCCGTGCCCTCTTTCAAGTGCTTTTGGTCAGCTGGAATGTACCCTTGAACTGCATTGTGTTTTAAAATGCCTGGAGGGGTGTTTGTGCAAAAACCTGAGTTTGGGCTGGAATGCAGCCTACAGAGCAAAAGCGTGAATTGCCCCCGTTGCCCCAACCTGCTTGTTGTCTCTGTCCCTACGCACCATTTGCATGCGGCCCCTGGAAAGTTGCCCACAAGGGAATGTGGCCCTTGGCTCCTCAACCCTGATCTAGCCCAATGCCTTGCTTCTTTTTTCGGCCAGCCAGTTGCTTCTAAGAATCTTATAAGTAGGCATCACAAGGGTGATGGCCGTCCCGTGGGGTTCTGACTCTAGCAGGTGGGACTCGGGAGTTAGACTGCGACTAAACATGGAGGTTCCATTTCTCTACCATGGCTAACACCTGCTGATGATAGACTTCCTCAAGGAAGGGACCATGGATCTATCTAGTTTAGCATTCTGTTCGCAACAGCAGCCAGACAGGCGGCTTCCAAGAGGCTTGCAAACCGGGAATGAAGACACACACAAACACACACAGCTCTCTTTGTTCCTGATGCAGTTTATCTGTACCATTTCAAGACAACAGCTGTTTAACAGAAGAGGCCTAACTTCAGGGAAGTCAATTCCCACCTCAACCTCCTCTCTGGGCAGCGCTTGGACACCCTGACACTTTTATAGCCCTCCTAAAGTGAACGTCATGCTATACAGAGAGGCAACCAGAACTATATACACGCAGGTTGGATTTACGTGGCACCTTCTAAAACACATTCGCCCCCTTGGAAAAAGGGGGTGAGGAACTTTCTCTCCCCCTCCACCACTGCTGAGGGCTGCTTGCTCTTTGGGGACCCTCCCTTACCACCAAGCATAATTACTGGCCCAAAAATAACAATAAAAAAAATGAACACAAGATTATTGCCTCTGCTCTGCCTCCACAGCTGGAGGCAGCAAGAGAGAATGTGCTCTTGTGCTCAGATCCTGCTTGCAAATTTCCCGCAGGCACCTGGTTGGCCACTGTGAGAACAGGGTGCTGGGCTAGATGGGTCGTTGGCCTGATCCAGCCGGCTCTTCTTACATTCTTAGTCTTCCACTTCGAAAGGGGAAAACACACATTGTGCAATGGAAGGATTAACTGCGGCTACAGATTCTTGCCTTTGGGCTGAAAAACACAGGCTTCTGTTCTTTAGCGCAGAAGTCCAGACTGGCTGCTTGGAGATGCTGGTTCCCGCAGCCAGGACGAGTCAAGGACATCTGCGGTTGCTGCCCCGGAACTGGGAGACGTCTGGAAGACTTATGAGCAAATGAATCTACCTTACACCAAATCATTTGGGCCATTAATGTCATGATTCTTTATGAGACTTGGCTTGCTTTGGTACACTGCAGCTCCTACAAGTTTCAAACCACATTTTGCAACTAAAGACTCTGTAAACACACAGAAAAAGATATGGGTGAAATAACAGCTTGGCCAACTTAAAGGTAAAGGTAAAGGGACCCCTGACCATTAGGTCCAGTCACGGACGACTCTGGGGTTGCGGCGCTCATCTCACTTTATTGGCTGAGGGAGCCGGCGTACAGTGTCTGGGTCATGTGGCCAGCATGACTAAGCCGCTTCTGGCGAACCAGAGCAGCACACGGAAACGCCGTTTACCTTCCCGCTGGAGCGGGACCTATTTATCTACTTGCACTTTGATGTGCTTTCGAACTGCTAGGTTGGCAGGAGCAGGGACCGAGTAACGGGAGCTCACCCCGTCACGGGGATTCGAACCGCCGACCTTCTGATCGGCAAGTCTTAGACTGTGGTTTAACCCACAGCGCCACCCGCGTCCCTTTGGCCAACTTGGACGGCTGTAAAAGACTGTTAGACAAATTCATGCAGCAAAAAGCTGCTAACGGCTACTAGTCCCCATCACTGTGTTCTACCTTCCTTGCCAGAGGAGGTATGACTCTGAATACCAATCACTGGGAATCACAGGCAGGAAGAGTCCTGTCGCACTCGGGTCCTGGCTTGTGGGCTTCCCTTAGGCATCTGACTAGCCCCTGTGAGAACAGGATGCTGGACCAGCCGAGAGCCCTGCTTACGTCCATGGCACTGATTCACACCCGTGAAATGTCACGTCTGCCCATTTGCCTCGGAACTTCCCCATTTGCAAGAAACACATTCAAAGAAAAACGCTATGAATTATTATTTGGCCCCGAAGGCTAATTGCAATTGATGGACAAAAGCTACAGTGGAATGTGAACATTGAGAGGAACATTTGGGAATAAATTTCTGATGGTAAGAGTAATTTGGCAGTGGAACGGACAACCTCAGATGGTGGTGGACTCCCCTTCATTGGAGTTTTCTAAACAGAGGTTGTCACCTCTTAGGGATTCTTTACCTGTGATTTCCGCATTGTAAGGGGGCTACTCTATTCTGAACTTAAAAATGGAAAGCGTAATGCTGGTGGTCAACAAAAGAGGTTTAAAGACTCTCTCAAGGCAAATCTAAAAAAAATGTAGTATAAACACCAACAACTGGGAAACACTGGCCTGTGAGCGCTCCAGTTGGAGAACAGCCTTGACCAAAGGTGTCATGGGCTTTGAAGATGCTCAAATTCAGGATGAAAGGGAGAAATGTGCTAAGAGGAAGGCACGCTTGGCAAACCCTCACCATGATCAGCTCCTGCCCGGAAACCAATGTCCCCACTGTGGAAGGACGTGTGGATCCAGAATTAGCCTCCACAGTCACTTACGGACTCACTGTTAAAACCGTATTCATGGAAGACAATATTACTTGGCTACAAGTGATCGCCAAAGAAAAATAAAGAAGAAATAGGGGTCTGAGCCCGGTGACCCTTGGGGTCCCTTCTGACTTTATGATTCTGCAATTCTATGATAAATACGCTACTTAAGAATTTACAGGCCACTCTTTCAATAGACAATACACTTACATACCTGTCTGACAGTCGGTCTACGCTGTCCTGGGCAACACTGAAGGACTGGAGAGTCAGGATCTCAGCAGCTGATGGGGGAGAACCAACCATTCCAAGACGCCCCAGGGACCCCTCAGAGGTTTCAGTTTCAACTGCTGTTTTAGAAAAGAAATGCTTCAAAATTTGGGAGGTGGTGCTTTTTCTGCCAAATGTTTGGGCCCACATCTCGTGTCCCGTGCCCCGCCTGCTGGTCCACCCATCTTTCAAACCCTCTTGTGGCAACAACGTTCCCCCAACCTGATGCCCTGCAGTGGGTCTCGACTACAACTCCCATCATGATGGGAGCTGTAGTCCAAAACATCTGGATGACACCAGATTGGGGGAGTGCTAGCAGCGTAATATCTAGACCAGAGGAGCATGTTCACTGATATGCCTTGAAATGGCCGACTTAAACCTAAAATTCGCGGACTTCCATCCAATCCTTACACGATGAAGAGAAGCAGAGCTCGGAATGGCTGGGTCTCTTGCCGCTGCGGGTGGGGGGACGGGAGTTCTGCTCAGACTGGAGATGGCTGTCCCTGCTACAGGAAGAAAGGGCATCATTTTCCGGCCTGGCAAGGAAAACGAAAAGTCAAAGAACGGTGAATGCTTGTAACTGAAAACGATTATCGTGCAAGAATTATTGCCTCCTGCATTTCCTGTAATAGAGAGGCATTTTGCATTGCAAGCTGGCTTGCCAGCACCAAAGCAGCCTTGCGGTGCAGTTTCCCCCTCGTTTAGCAAAGTCAGGACATTTTTGCGGAAGAGAACTCTGGGATTATGTACGCAGCTCCTTAACAAAGCTGGGCAAAAGCCTCCTCTCAACTCATTCCACTGTGTCAGATCAAGATTTGCATTTCCGTTTGATTCTGTCCCTTTTATAGTAAGCTGAATGCTTGCACCTGCCTTATAGGAAGTCTTCCATTGGCCCATTAGCTCATTACGGTCTGCTCTAGGCTTCCCTAATCGGGTGGCTCCCTCCCATAGGTTTTCGGACTGCAGCTCCAAACAATCCTGATCACTGGTCATGCTGGCTGGGTTAATGGGAATTGTTGTCCAACAATATGCCCAGAGATCTGCACCGGTTGCCGATTTGCTACTGGGCCAGGTTCAAGGTGTTGCTATTAGTATACAAAACCTTCATCAACTTGGGACCAGTTTACCTGCAAGATTGTCTTACCCCACATACGTCCACCTGGTCACTTCCATGTAAGGAACTAGCACAGTTTTAGGTGGCACATAAAACTCGTTCTGCCTTTGTAAGAAATCTTTAGTGTGGCAGCACTTCCTGCCTACTGACCCCAGGCAGACACATTCCCTGTACTCTTTTGGGTGCCTGCTAAAAACATTGTTGTTTATAGACAAAAGCCTGCCCAGAAGTGAAGAATGTGAACATTTGTTTCAATCTGTTTTTAGTCAATTGTTGACTTTATCTTTTGATTATTTAAAAGTTGTTTTTATGGTGATGGGAAAAGGAATTATCTGTGGGATTGAGTGTAGGTATGTTTGAACATTTTTAAGGATTGTATGAAATGTATGTTTGTATATTCGCAATATGTGTGTATTAATGCTGAATTATTTTAACAATAAAAACTTAAAAAATAATAATAATAAAAGTTGTTTTTATGTATTTATTTTATAAGTAAAATAAATTGATAGAGTGGCTGGAGAAACCCAGCCAGATGGGTGGGGTATAAATAATAAATTATTATTATTATTATTACTGTTATTATTATTATTATTAATTGAATTTATATACCACCCTATGCCCAAACGTCTCTGGGCGGTTCACAGAATAAAATCAAAATATAAAACCACAAAATACATAACCAAAATAAAAAAGCAACCCACTCGTAAACCACATTGATGGGGTTTTTTTTTGATGTTTTGTTTTTTGTACAAAAATCAACCAGTGTATAAATTTCAGGAAATAAATACGTTTCTGTCCTTGGTATGCCTTTTTTTCCCTTCTCAGTTTGATTCCCTGGCACCATATTTGTATAAATTAACTATTCCAAAATACAGACGTGCCTTCACACTGGCCAGATTGGATGTGATGCCCTCTGCCGTACTTGAGGGCAGGTACCAAAAGATTCCAATTGAGAAACGACTCTGCCCCTGTGGAGATGGCAATCTGGAAACAGTGGCTCATGATCTCCTGTCCTGTTCCCTTTATAAGATCTGAGGAATGAGATCATCACCCCACTCCTACTTACCATCCCAGGCCGCCCATCTGAGGCCACATTGTTCTTTCTTTTATCAGATCAAAATGATCAGACAACAGCAAAGGTTGCTAGGTTTATCGAGGGTGCAATGAGATTAAGGGCCACTATCTGAACGATAATCTTGGTCATTTGATGGTCCTTTTTACCCATTGTTGTCTTTTTAATTGTATACATTGCTTGTTTTATGTTGCTATGGCCGTTGGCTAATGTAAATAAAGTCTATCTATCTATCTATCTATCTATCTATCTATCTATCTATCTACGTTTCTGGATGGCACCAGACTGGGGAAGGCTGAACTCCATTCTGATGGGTAACAGCTCTGTTATTTGGATAGGAATCTTCCAGCACCAATATTTCAGAGGTGTGGGAAACTGACCATGGGTCCTTCCGCACCCAAATCATATGATCTACTCCTGAGCTACAGTCTCTGGGCTGCCAGTTCCAATCCCTGAGGGTGACAGTGAAGAAAGCACAGTACTTGTGTTGTTGTTTTTTGTTGTTTTTTGAGATGTCCACCTTTTCCACATTTGGTTGCTGCTATTTATATGCACTTGCACTTAGAACTTTGCTTTTACCACACTATTAAAATGCAACTGAGAAATCAATGTAAATGGCAGAGATGCCGCATTCTGATGACCATGGGTCGCCTGATCCGGCGAATGGCAAGGGCTTTCCTCAAATCCAGCTGAGAAAGAAATCACGATTCCCCCTGGTCTGGAGAACGCCAAATTAAATTGCCAGGTCTGAAATGTGCCTTGCAGGAAGCAGCAGGTGAAATCTGAGGCTCCCACGAGTGGCACCTGGGGCTGGTGCCCACATGACGCATCAAAAGGCCTGTGCAAGGGATTATCGCAATGCTTGTGATGTTATCTACGGTTGCAGCAGCTGCGGCAGAGGTGGTACACTACAGCCACTCCATCCGTCTGGCTTGGAGCAGCTGCTGTTTGGCTATTCCTGCTCCAGGACTTCACAAGGTTGCTCCAAGGCATTTTGCAGCCTGTGGCAGAGCAGCAAATGCTCCCTGCCCGTCTCTTCCCAGACATAATAATTTAATAAGTTCTTTTTTAAAATCAAGGTGCATAGTACCCGACAGTAGCAACCCTCATTTACCTACTTTCTTTTTCTTTGCTCCATTCAAACCACCACCGCCCGCACCTCCCTGTCATCGTTCTTCTCTTGGACTACTGCAATGTGCTTTACATGGGGCTACCTTTGAAGGTGACCCGGAAACTGCAATTAATCCAGAATGCGGCAGCTAGACTGGTGACTGGGAGTGGCTACCGAGACCATATAACACCGGTCCTGAGAGATCTGCATTGACTCCCAGTACGTTTCCGAGCACAATTCAAAGTGCTGAGGCTGATGGGAGCTGGAGCCCAATGACTTAAGCATGGGCACAGGTTGCTACCTTAGGCTATTATTTACCATTTCCCAGTTTGCATGTGACATGGCGTGCTCCAAGGGAGCCTGTCTCTGGCATAGAATATTACATCATTATCATCATTATTATTATTACTACTACTACAGCAACCTTTAGTTAGCTGGAGCCTTCCAGTCGTTTTAGACTCCCAGCAGCCAGCTCAATGGTTAGGGATAACCAGAGTGGTACTCCTGCAATATCTGGAGGGCACCAGGTTGGGAAAGGCTACATTACGGTACTGAGCTGGGGGAAATGCTTTCATCATCAATTCGTTTCCCAACGCCTGGGTCTGAGAGTGCTTTGTATCTCATCTCTCTCCCACCCTGAGTTTTCACAGCCTTGTGAGTGGAAGTTGAGAGGGGAGAGAAAAAGGAGCAAAGAGGGGTAATTTCATGGCACTTATCCAGCGCATTGTTTAAATCTAACCACTTCAATGTTTCCACGCTGGCTGTTTCTGTTGCTAAGTCCTGTTAGGTCTTGCAAATGGTGACAGCGGGGTGAAAAGTAGGCAGAAAAGAAAGAGAAGCGGCAGAGAGTTTTTGAAAGCGATTACCTCTCTGCAGTGGTTGTGTGCTGTTCAAAAAGTAAAGGGAGGGAGTGACAGCAGGTGGAAAGCTTTAGATCTCACTATATTTTTAGAAGCATAATCCACCATATTGTAATAAGGAGGACTTCTCATTTTATCGTACCCGAAAACACCTAGAAAACGAAGAAAGCCCCACCTGCTAGGAAGGGCAATGAAAAGCCTGCTATTTTGCAAATGCCTCTTCTTCACATTTATGCAGTTTAAAAGCTTCCTGCCTTGCACGCTGAGATGAAACACCAACCGTGGCTGGAAATGTCACAAGAAAACCAGCAAGGGCACTTAAAAAACTAAGCAGATGACAGCCATTCCTGCAAACCTGGCCGCTCTTCCCAACAGTTCTGGCTGGCTCCCATGCTGGCACCCTAATTTGGGTAATAATGCAAAAAGGGCTGTTGAGCCTGAGAAACAAAACCGGCTTCTTTGAACAACTATGTTCATATTGGTCAGATTTAGCTGCAATTCCTGCATTGCAAGGGATTGAACCAGCTGACCCTTTGGGTCTGTCCCAGCTCTACAATTCTATGCTTCTGAGATGACGATGATGATACCATATCACATTTTTGAGCGTCCAAAGCTTATCTGCATCATCTTGCCAGCCTTACAACACCTCTCTGCGCTTTTGCCCTCTGCACTGTTCCTGCTTCCTCCTGACCTTCACGCATTGTCCCCAAGTGTTTCTTTTGGATGGAGGTTCTGCCTCTTTCTCCATACAGATTTGTACAAACATTGACACAGCATGGATGTGAACCTGTGGCCTTTCAGATGCTGCTAGGTGACGATGGCAGGAGAGAGACGCTAACATCTGGCAAGGAACACAGGGCAGGAGGGGAGAGGCCTTGTGATTTCCCCTGCTCCTTTCCCTGAGTCACTGGCTCTTAACAGCTGTAGCTTGAGGAAGCGGCTCCAGGGAGGGCGTAGGAGGGCCTGGCTAGCCCAAGGTCTTTATAGGAACATGCACAGCAAAGCTGGAGGTCGACACCAAAGGCAGGGCTTTGCCTATTCCACTCTGTTTCAAAAAATCTGCATCTAGAGACAATCCAAATATCACGGCAGAAAACCTGCAACTTGTGTCTACATAACTTTGCCTGGATTTACTATGCTTTTGCTAGTTATGGGGAGATGCAAGGAGCTATCCCACCCCGACAAAGGGCATGTGTTGCTCTAAGTGAAAACTTCTTTTAAAAAACAAAGCAAGGGCAACGTCCTGTCTAATGCTGTTTTATTTCGTCAGAATCTTTCCATCAATCTGAATTGCATTTTCTTTGAACCAAGGTCAAAAGCAAAAGGCCTCCCAGCTTTTGGCTTGTTTGCCCAGACTTACGTTGGGTAGGCAGCCCTGTGATGGCCCGGTGTCACAGGTCTCTGGAGGGGCTCGTCAATGCTTTGCGGGATGCTGGGGATCGGCTTCTTCTTCGCTTTCGGTGTGTTGGTCATGATCTGAAATGAGGAGGAGAGATCAGCTGCACTAAACAGAGACCTCAGGAGGGGGACGCATCCTGAGTCCATGCTAGTGCTTGTCCAAAGGCCAGGTGCAGTGGGAAGGAAGAAGAGGGTCAAGTCTTGTCCCGCCTCCCCCAACACATGGAGGCAACGTTCTAAGGCTTATTAGGCAAATCAGTGCCTTTTTTTAAAGAAAAAAATAAGGCAACATTCTAAGGCTTATTAGGCTATTGCTACTAAAATCTGAACTATGTCTTCAGGCTGGGTAAAAGGGAGGGAGGTATGCTCAGTTTGTCATTTTTCTCTTTTTGATACATAACTCAAAATACAAATTTTTGGCAAGCATAATACCCAAAGCCACTACTTACTCCCAAGTATTCCGTGGTCAGGAGCTTCTCACCCGACAACTCCCCCTGTTGAGGCTGCAACACTTCGTCTTTGTCCAAGTCGGCCTCCATGCTGTTGTGGTCTTCCTGCCATGACATGAAAGCAGAGAGTCAGGGACCCCTAAGAGCCGGGACAGTTCTCAGGTCACGGGAATAAACCATGTGACAGGCAAAGCCAATGAGATGCAGTGCATGGCTCCCAACGCCAAGCAGCGTCTTCATCAGGCAAAAGGCAGACATAAAGTTACAGTTCTGTCAGCTAGTCGGGCAAGGTGTCACCGTGGTTCTGCTCCTGCCTAGAAGGTCATCTCCAGAGCACAGAAGCAGGTAGCCACTCTTCAGTCCACAACAGTTAAGTTATGGTGTTCCATAGGGTTTCATTCTGTCCCCAGTCCTATCCACCACCCTAAGTCACTGAAGACAACCATTAGGAGATTTGAGGCAAAGAGCCATCAGCTCACTGATGGGACCCAGCTCTATTTCTCTGTATTGTCTGAGTTGGGAGATGCTGTGCAGGTTTTGGACTGGTGTCTGATCAGGATCAATAAGAAGGAGGTGGAGGCTCTGTGGAGAGGTGGTTCCCTTGTCCGGGGCGCTGGAGAAGTTGCCTGTTCTGGACAGGGCTGAGCTCACTCTGAAGGAGCAAGTGCATGGTCTGGGGTGCTCCTAGCCCCTATGCCACACTTGTTCTCTGAAGTTACCTGAAGCAGCATGGAAGCAGCCATGGAAGTAGGGGCAACCATGCCGCCCAGACAACAAGCACACAGGGGTTATGTCAGCTCAACGCAAGCTGGCTGGCAAGGGGAACACCCTGCAAATCAGTGGTTCCCAAACGCTTTTGGTCCACCACCCCTTTGGTTCCATCAACACATCTCCAGTACCCCCTACCCTATAAAAAGCATTATTCAGAATAGCGGTTTGCATGACCCACTAAGGAAGCTTATGACTTAATAAAATTCAGCAACAATTGCACATTCGTTCAAAATCCAATTAGAACTATTTAGTTTAATCTATTCAACAAAATAGGTGAACCTGATCTAGTGATAGAAGTTTTTCAATGTCTGATAGTCATTGACCCCTTCAGAGGTCCCCTGCTGCTCGCTTGTCTCTTAGCACCCCTCTAGGTGATCCCCCCCCCAGGGGGCAATGCGACCCCTTTGGGAACCACCGCTGTAAATCATCAAGGTGGCCGCAGACTTTTGAGTATGGCATGCTTGGATTTTACTGTGCCTTTTACACGAATTGCCCAAATCCATGCTGAAAGGAAGCAGAAAGCAATAAAACTGTAGTGTCATCTCCAGAGTGACAAAGGCCAGAAGAAATAAACCCAGAACACTGGTATCACTGTTCACTGGGAGTAAACCGTCGCTGATGCAAGGAGCGGGGCTGAAATCTGCATAGGCTTCCAAAATAGGGGCTGTTTGCAAAGGTGAGCTTTGCAGGAACAAGAACAGGAGATCCATACAAGGGAAACCGGCCAAACAAATCCCCACTGAAGCTAACTCAGTTCCGCTGCAGCTCTGACAAAATGTTCTTTCTAAACAGTTAAATGAAATTAGCCAAATAAATTGCCACCAGAGTTTGCAGGCTATTTGTACAATGAAGGCATTGAGCAGACATGCAAAGCCCATGATTTTCATTCCCTGATTTACACCAAATACTACACAGCATCCTTGTGAGTCTCCCTCTGTGCAGCGGATGGGAGGAATTAAACTCACCAACTGCTGCAGCGATTAAAACAATGGGCAGGATTAACGTGCCCCAGGAGTGGAAGCCCTGCACAAGGACTCCCACTTGAGCAAAGGGGCTCTTTCCACTGTTGCCCCCCAAAATTGGCTCAGCAGAGGAAAGGAGGTAATTCGGTCTGAAAAGCTGAAACCCTTGTGTAGACAGAATGTTCGTCATGGCGTGATGCTGAATTCGACCGATTTTTAAAATTACTAACAATTATTATTTATGTGGTGGCACTTTAGAGAGTTACATAAGCGAAAACCTGGCAGGTCTCTGCCCCAAGATGCTTACAATTTAAAGTTCAATTGCTGCGGGAAGGGCGAAGATGACACAGGCAGACAGAGGGAGGGAGGGATGAGGCAACCATAACCAAGCGTGATCATGTGAAGAAAAAGAAGAAAATTATAACTTAATTCAGGCTATCGGCTAAAATGTGATTTGGAAGATCACGAAAATGTTGTGAGCTCACGCTTCCTTCCTTCCTCTCTCCTGTCTTCTTTCTCCATTTCCTGCTCAGCACCAACTATAGTTTTTCATGAATTCCAAAATGGCAGACCATAGGTAGCGCTTGCTCTCCAAAGCACAATCAGAAACAAGCCATCTGGCATTTAAGGTGCCGCCTTTCCCACAGGCCTGGGACTCGTCCAGCCTCAGTATCAGAGGGTAAACTCACTCAGGGTGCAGATGGGCTTGTTGCAGGATCCTGGCTCCTCACCCCAAAGGTGAAGCCTGACCTAGGGCTTGGTGTAGGTTCTCCTGGTCTTCCTCTGACGAGGACTCCCCTAGCTGATCCATGCCACTCTGTTGTGTTTTACTGCATTTTAATAACAGATTTTTTTTATATATTGTGATTTTAAACTGTTCCAAGGTGCCTGTAAGCAGTGCGCTGGCGCTAGAAGAAAGGGGTAGAAAATGTTACGTCAACAGAAAGCCTCCTCCTTGGCACAGTTTGGGAGGATGGCATTTTATTTCCTGGGTTACGGAAAGAATGTGTTGACATAAGTTCACACCTTTCTTGACACTGACAAAGGGAGTAGGTTTGTGGTTTCAGGATGCTTCTACATCCTTCAACTCTTCCTCTTGCAGGCTAAGACCTTGGTAGACAAAGGCCAGTCCCTTACACAATTTCACCACCTCACAACAGCAGATTATTCCTTCCTGCATTCTGAAAGGAGAAGGGGTCCAACCGCTTGCCGTGTGTCAACAAACAACTATTTGCTCAAAAACCAGGAACAATATCCTGCAAGAAGCTAGTAAGTATCCCTGGTGACATTCAGGAGGTCATGGCCTGCAAACCCATTTTGCAATCCAAGGATTAAACCTGCCCAAGCGGAGGAATAGAATTACAACAGAAAAGGCCTGGCTCTCAACTGGACGGAGAGAACTCGGATTTCAGTCTCTGCCAAAATCGTTAATGCTTAAATCATTACAGTGCAGAGGCAAGGCTTAAAAGGCACATTAGGTGAATTGCATGGCCAGAGGCAAGCTAAGAAGTTGATCCAACAAGCCACAGGCCACCCTGCCTCTTCCTTTTGAAGCGTGGGGTGGGCACAACCCTTGGTGCAGCCAATGACAGGGGTCCTGAGACTGGGCAAGCAATTGGGTGCTCTATGACCTAGGAGGAGGAGATAGTTCCAGTGCCCAATTGGCATCCAGACTGTCACCAGCGACATCACTGATAGGAGGAAGTGCTGGAGGTGGCTCCACGGTGGGAGGGTCTTTGGGAGGGTCCTGGCTATCAGGGTGTGGTGGCAGAAGAGTACAAGGATGCTATTGTCCGATGGATAATTCAACTACAGAAGACGACAGTGGCAGCCTTGCTGGTTCAATCAGAAGTCTATCCGCTCAAGAATTCCCACATCTCCCCTTCCCCTCCAAAAAAAGGAATAACTCTCTAGTCTTGATCAACAAAAGCAGATTACCCACAGGGCAAAGGTCAAACACATGCATCTCTTCACACATGCAAAGGGGAAAGAGTCACTGTGGGCAGTGTGCTCTATCTGGATTCAAACCACTTATCAGATATGAAGTTACTATCTCTCTGTCAGGAGCCAAGTTGCACCATGGGCCTCTTGTGTAGGCAAGAGGAGATTAAGGTGCAAGAGATTCAGTGGTCTATGTATGCTAGACATGAGCTGTGGACCTGAATCAGATCATACCCATAAGTCAAGGCCAAAGAGCCCATGTGCAGAAGAGCTGGTCAGCTGTGGGCAAACATTCCCCCCCCCCAACCAGAAAAAGGTCTTAGTCCTCATTCTACAAAAAAGGCAACCTGTCCAGTACTGTTAAAAGACGTACCAGGAAACTGAAACTCACAGCCTAGCTGAACGCAAGCAAAGAGAATCAGGATCCTGGGTCATTATAGAAGTCTGCAAATCATACTTCACACATTCAGGTTTGGGGTTCCCATGCTCCCCCCAACTGTCTCACTATGTTTGCTAATCAGACATGTTCACAGTGTTTCAAAAACCTGGAAAACCTGCTTGACTAGAGATCAGAAAGGTCAAGAAAAAATTGACATGCATCAGTTAATGATGCTTCATTCATACTATCTACAGTCCTGTGAAAAACAACCACTGCTACACAGCCAAAGAGATAGAACCACAGCAATTGGGGTGTGGGGGTGTGTGACTTCTGTTACACAAATAAGTAAACTGTAAAGCTTAGAATTGCTTGCCTTTCCACTCTGGTGAATGAAAGGTGCTCTGTAACTTGGAAGGTGAAATGGGAATGCGCTCTTAGGAATATTTTACAATCCTCCCATCCGTCGCAGTGGGCCCTAAACAGGAAACCTCGGTGGGCTCTGCCCCAAGTCTTTTGGGTATTTCCAGGTATTCCCAAACTACAGCCTCATCTTCCCTTTAAATAGCCCGCAGAGCTTGCCCTTTTTGCCTTGCTGAACATGAGACAGAGACATTTGCTTTGGCAAATGATCCTTTCAAGCCCACAAATTTCACACTATTTATATCCCAGTATTTTTCCAGGAATTTCTCACCAGTTGTAATGGTGCTGGCACAGATGCCCCAGATATTGCTGCAGTGGAGGAATGCAAGCAGGGCGGATGGAGGCTTATTATCAGAGCATCTTCTTTAAAACGTGCTCCGCAGGTTGGCCTGGTAATTAAGACAGGTCAGCACGTTCACATAACAAGCCCAAGGATTAGGACCGAGCTAAAACTGTTTCACTTTTTTGTGCATGCTTTGGCAGTGTCAAAAAACACCTCCCCTTTCTGATGATTTTTCAACACTCCTTGCCAACATGCTCATTTATTCATTTGAATTGCCCCTTGCGTGCCCTCGCCAAATTGCCTTCAGTGACCCGTCCAAGGCTAATAAAATGCTTTGTGATTTCACTTCGTGCTGTGACCTCACCAGAACTGATAAACTATGCCATCCCACTCAATATAGGATTCCTAACTGGATGGAATGAGCCATGTGACTATATTCAGGAAGAAGACTTGGGGAGGAGATGAAGAGGAACAGTGTGACAGGGAAACACCTAGGTCCAAATCCTGATTCTGTGGCTTCAGGGAAGTTTCTCTTCACCCCAGCCCATAGCATCTCAGATGCAAAAGTACAGAGTTTTGTTCATCTTGTTTTGGGGAGTAAGCCCATTTCTGGAGGTCCAGGGTACCTAAGGGATCGCCCAAACCCTTGGGCCGCAGCTCAAACACTCAGATAACCCGCAGGAGCATCACTGGTCATTCCCTGAGTTGATGAGGCTCCACTATGAACCCCCAAATTGGGATCCCCTCCAAATCTGTGCCAAACTTTTGCAGTGTTTTGCAGCAACCCCCCTCCCCATTTTGCAGAGCCCCACCAATTCATCAATTGCTACTCAAACCTGGGGTCATAGCTATCAATCCTAGGTTTAAGAAGCAATTGCTCCATTTGTGGTGAGTGGCAAAAGACAGGGTTTTCACTGCAAAAAACAAAACAAAACAAAAACCCTGCAAAACTTTGGCATGGGTTTGCAGAGGATCCCAACTTTTGTAGTTCGTATTTAATGGGCCCATATACGGAGCCGCCGGTGTCACTGGCCCAGTCCTGTGGAATACGCTGCCTTCTGTGCCAACTTTTAAACATCTGCTGAGAAGTTTTCTAGTCCGCCAGGCCTTTGCAGGCAATTAAGAATACATCCAGCCACAATGGTGAAGTGTTAAGTCTTAGTTTATGCTGCTTATATTGTATGGGTTTGTTTTTATTGCTGTAAAACCACTGTGATGTGTGACACAGTGGTATAGAAATATTTTTATAAATAAATATACCCAGCCACAAAGTTCAGCTGACGCCTCGGGTTCCTTTTGCCTCTGCAATCGTCAGGTGAAAGTGCAAAGCCACGGTGGGTCTCTGCTCCCTGACTGCAGCTCAGAGTTGAAAGCAGGAGACAGAGATTCATTCCTCTGAGAAGCCATCAGGCGTAGAGAGGGAGAAAATAGATGCAACTCTAGCTCCCATCATCTCTAGCTCCAAACTGGAGGATGTAGGTGCCCCAGGACTTGCTTGGTAGAGCAAGTGGACCTGCCTCCACCTCCCACCTCCAGCTTGCAAAACCCCTCCCGCTCTTGGCAGCTTCAAGCCAACAGGTGGACAGAGGGGCAGTAAATCCCCCTGCCTAATGTCATGCTGTGTCCCACAGGTAGAGGAAGAGGCCAAGGCAAGAACCTGCCCTTCTGAGAGGCAGGAACTGGCAACACAAACTTTTTGTTGGCTAGCACGCCTAGCCAAAATTGATCGACCCAGAAATGTTATGGGGCGCAGAGATATTATGACGGTCAAGTATTCCAGCCTCGCGTAAGGCATAGTGAGCTCTTAAGACTTTCAGGCATCCAGCTTATAAAACTTACCTCGTCATTATCTTCCTTCTCCTCATCATCAGACTCAGCGCTATCATCCAATGGATCTTCTAGAAGGAAACAAGATGAAACATAAGAGAAAATGAGCGCAGCAGTTTGCTTCATCAGAAGTTTCATGTAGCGGGTCCCCACCACCACCACTACCCTCATTTTCAACACTGACTGATATTTTTACTCTCTTTGGGCATGTTCCAAAGGGGACATTTCCCTGCACAAGCCATAATTAAAGCAGTGATGTGTTAAGACATTTGGCCCAACCATTTTCCATCACTTTATAGAGGGGTGGCCTTAAAATGGCCTCGGAAGTTCTTTGCAATTGGGCTAGGGGGCTGGGCAAAGCTGTAACATTTTGTGTTGGGAGAGGTGAGGTAGCAGACAGATGCAATCTTTCTCTTGCAGAACAGTGCTTGGGGCAACAGCGGAACTGCGGGGAGTAGCATTCCTCCTGGCAAACCTCCAGGGGAGAGGGTTTAAAACAACAACAACATCCAAGAATGGCCACATAAAACTTGAAATCATGATAAGCATCTCTCCCTTTGGGACACTGGCATTTGCAAGGAGGAATGCTGCCAAGCTACTGCTTCTTGTCCAAAGTTTTTCAGGTAAGAGAAAGACTGACCCTCTGCTGCCTTCTTATAAGAAGAGCCCGTTGGGTCAGGCCAATGGCCAGTCCAGTCCAGGATCCTGTTCTCAGAGTGGCCAACCAGATGACCATCCAACCTCTGCTTAAAAACCTCCAATGAAGGAGAGAGTCCACTGCTATCAGGTGCTGATGTGGTTGCTCGGGAGCAAACAAGCAAGACTCCAACCTGTCTTTTCCAGGCTTTATTATCTGTACAAACTACCGTATTTTTGCCCTATAGGACGCACTGGCCCATAGGACGCACCTCCTTTTTGGGGGGGGGGGGAGAGAAATGAATTTAAAAAAATTATTTCCCCCCCAGCCGCAGGGCTGGGGCGGGGGAAGCCCGGGCTTCCCCCGACCCCAGAACAGGCTGCTATCCGCAAGCCTTGCGAGCTCGCGGCAACTCCCGCCGGGCTCGCAAGGCTTGCGGACACCTGCGCGAAGCACCGGGCGCCCTGTGGAGGGCGCCCCGTGCTCCAGGCAGCAGGCTGCTATCCGCAGCCTAGGGAGCCCTGCGGGAACTCCCGTGGGCTCCCCAGGCTTGCTGATAGCTTCTGAAGCCTGGAGAGCGAGAGGGGTCGGTGCGCAACGACCCCTCTCGCTTTCCAAGCTTCAGCGAAAGCCTGCATTCGCCCCATAGGACGCACACAGATTTCCCCTTCATTTTTGGAGGGGGGAAAGTGCGTCCTATGGCGCGAAAAATACGGTATTTACAGTGCAGGGCGTCGCAAGTCCGTGTCTGCTCAGTCGCTAGCAGACTCTGGGAGTGGGCAGTCCTTATACTTTCCCCAGCATAACAGCCGTGTGACCCCCAACCTTCTCCTCCTCTCTCTGCGCCGAAGACTACCGCGCAGAACGGGCGCTGGCAAAGGGGGACTCGCCTCCCCTCCGCTTTGCTCAGGCTCGGTGTTGAGGCTCTCCCTAGCATCTTCTGATCCTTGCGCTCCTTCCCCACTGGAGGTGTGGCTTCCCTCCTCGCCAGAGGAAGAACTACTTCGCAAGACCTTCAGAGGCTCCCTGTAACACAACTGCCCTTCCACCTCTCGCCTCTGAGCTGATGGCAGGTCCCTGACAACTGCCTTCCAAGAAAGTCCATCCCACTGTCAAACAGCCCATGCCATCAGAAAGTTCTTCCTACTATTTAATGTTCCTAATATATGTGTGCTTCTAGATGCGTGGGAAGGGTTTATTGTTTATTGTGAGAAGGGTGCTCCACATGCATGTAAACTTTCCAGGGAAGATCAGTTAAGTTTTAAAAAAACACATTTATATTAACACAACAACCTGTTTATTGCAGTAAGATCCTGCCTGGAAGTACTCTAAGACACCTAACTCCGCCATAATTTGTAATCTAAATGTATTTGCAAGCCGAGAAATGACTAGCTGAGTCACAATACAGTTCAGCTCACAGCTAGTGGCTATTTTGCTCGTGGCCAAACTATAGTATTCAAGCACATTGCTGCAAAATTTCCACTGATATGTTAAATGAATCGTGCTCTGCAGCTGACCACACAGAACAATCACATGACTGCCTCATGATGGGCTGAAAGGCGACACAGAGATGAAATTGCCATGCTAAAAGCTGCAATCCTAGTTCACTTACTAAGAAGTAAGTCTGGCTGAAATAAGTGGGCCTTATTCATGAGTAAACACAATTACTGCGATGCTGTAAGGCTGCAATCATAAGCGCAATTACTTGGAAGTAAGCGCCAATGAACTCAGTGGAGTTTACCTGCAAGTGAACAGGTTTAGGAAAATGCTGCCAGGCTGCAATCATCTGGAAGTCTTTCCAAATGAAATCAGTGGGGTTTACTTCTATGTATATGTGGTTATCATTGCAAGGGTTGTGTGAATTGATCCTAGAAGACGCACCTTCTGTTTCAGCTTTAAAACATCTGCTGAAAAAGTTTCTATTCCAGGGGAGATCAGGTAAGTTTAAGAAACATGTTGCCAACAACCCTTTTGTTTTACGTCTATTTCCATTAGGCTTATGCAGGGAATTAAAAGCACGTATTTTATTTTATTTTATTTTATTTCATTTCATTTCTATATCCGAAGGTCTCAGGGCGGTTCACATAAAGGACCACATACATAAAATCAAAATACAAACAACAACCCAGTAAAGAAGAAAAAAAAAACACCCTAAAAAGAGCCAGCATTTCAAAAAGGTTATAGGATGTAGATCAGGTCAGGCAAAGGCCTGGTTAAAAAGGAACCTTTTCGTCTGGCACCTAAAGGTGTATAGTGAAGGTGCCTGGCGAACTTCTCTGGGCAAGTTCCATAATATTTCCATAATAGCTAGCTGATTTCTGATCTTAACACTTTAAATGTTTTTTTATTGCATGATTTTGCATAAAATTATAAAGACTTATGATTTTTGAAAAATGAATAGTGGTATATAAACATTTTTATAAAGATGCTCTCGGTCTGAAACCCCTTAGCCTGCCTTCACTTCTTCCAGTCCTTTGCCTGAGAGCAACAAAAGCTTTTTAATAAAGATTTTCAGCCCAGATGCGACTGTGTGTCCCTCTGACCTGATTTAAGCTGCTTGATAATAAACTCAATCTGCTGGATCATATCAGCGTTTCCTTCCTCGATGTAGCAGCGCAGAATGTCTTCCATTTCCTGGACGGGTTGGAAAACAGAGCTGTGTCAGTGGATCATATGGGTGACCTCAGCAAAGGGTCATTTCACTGGTTTGTTTAGCTTCAGAAAAGAACGTTGCGGTGGGAGAGCTGTGCCCAACTGCAGACATTCTGTTCTCTCCATCCACCAGAGCAGTGCCTGGCCGTGGGAGGGAAAAAGCCTTCCACAACATCCACAGCAGACATATTTCTGACACCTAAGTCAAACACAGAATGATTTAAGACTGGGTGTGCTGACCCCTGCAATTTCTCCAAATGAGGGAAACTCGACTGCATAATGTGTAATAGTGAAAACTCTCAAACAAATGTGGTTCACAGCTTCTCAAAGTCTTCCATATCTCGCAGAGGCGAAACCAGAACAGTACCCAAATAGCACTTTGGGTAGGGCTTTTTTCCAGCCGGAACTCACCAGAACTCAGTTCCGGCACCTCTCAGGTGGGTGCCACTGCCATTCTAAGAGAACAAGGGAGGTGTTCATGGTGAGTTCTGGCACCTCTTTTTCTAGAAAAATAGCACTGCGTACACAAACTTATTAAAAGTCACCAAGTAGCAAGCTAGCCTTTAGCTGCTCCTAATACAAGTATAGTATTAGGTATTGTATCCCATTTGTCCTCACTGCCTTGTTGTGGCGAAGGGGCTTGAATAACTCAGAGAAGCTATGAGCTATGCCGTGCAGGGCCACCAAAGATGGACAGGTCAGGTCATAGTGGAGAATTTTGATCAAACGTGATCCACCTGGAGCAGGAACCGGCAAGCCACTCCAGTATCCCTGCCAAGAAAACTCCATGGACAAAGACAACAGGCGTATAAAAGTTATGACGCTGGAAGATGAGCCCCTCAGGTCGGATGGTGTCCAACATGCTACTGAGGAAGAGCGGAGGACAAGTACAAGTAGATTCAGAGCTGATGAAGCGGCTGGGCCAAAGCCAAAAGGACGCTCAGTTGCGGATATGCCTGGAAGCGAAAGGAAAGTCCAATGCTGTAAAGAAAAATATTGCATAGGAACCTGGAATGTAAGAACCATGAACCTGGGTAAGTTGGATGTGGTCAAAAATGAGATGGCAAGAATAAATATTGACATCCTGGGCATCAGTGAACTAAAATGGACGGGAATGGGCGAATTCAGTTTGGATGACCATCATATCTACCACTGTGGGCAAGAATCCTGTAAAAGAAATGGAGTGGCCCTCATAGTCAACAAAAGAGTGGCGAAAGCTGTACTGGGATGCAGTCTCAAAAATGATAGAATGATCTCGATACGAATCAAAGGCAGAACTTTTAACATCACAGTAATCCAAGTTTATGCACCAACTACCGGTGCTGAAGAAACTGAAACTGACCAATTCTACGAAGACTTACAACACCTTATAAAATTGACACCAAAGAAGGATGTTCTTCTCATTATAGGGGATTGGACTGCTAAAGTAGGGAGTCAAGAGATAAAAGGAACAACTGGCAAGTTTGGCCTTGGAATTCAAAACAAAGCAGGGCAAAGGCTAATAGAGTTCTGCCAAGAGAACAAGCTGGTCATCAAAAAAACTCTTTTCCAACAACACAAGAGACGACTCTACACACGGACATCACCAGATGGGCAGCATCGAAATCAGATTGATTATATTCTCTGCAGCCAAAGATGGAGAAGCTCTATACAGTCAGCAAAAACAAGACCTGGAGCTGACTGTGGCTCAGATCATCAGCTTCTTATAGCAAAATTCAAGCTTAAACTGAAGAAAGTAGGAAAAACCACTGGGCCGGTAAGATACAATCGAAATAAAATCCCTTATGAATACACAATGGAAGTGAGGAACAGGTTTAAGGATTTAGATTTGCTGGACAGAGTGCCTGAAGAACTATGGGTGGAGGCTCGCAACATTATACAGGAGGCAGCAACTAAAACCATCCCAATGAAAAAGAAATGCAAGAAAGCAAAGTGGCTGTCCAACAAGGCCTTACAAATAGCGGGGGAGAGAAGGCAAGCAAAATACAAGGGAGATAGTGAAAGATACAGGAAATTGAACGCAGATTTCTGAAAAATAGCAAGGAAAAGAGGGCCTTCTTAAACGAGCAATGCAAAGAAATAGAGGAAAACAAGAGAATGGGGAAAACCAGAAATCTGTTCAAGAAAATTGGAGATATGAAAGGAACTTTTTGTACAAAGATTACCATAATAAAGGACAAAAGTGGTAAGGACCTAACAGAAGCAGAAGACATCAAGAAGAGGTGGCAAGAATACACAGAGGAATTATACCAGAAAGATATGAATGTCTCATACATCCCAGGTAGTGTGGTTGCTGACCTTGAGCCAGACATCCTGGAGAGTGAAGTCAAATGGGCCTTAGAAAGCACTGCTTTCTAAGTGATGATATTCTAGCTAAACTATTTAAAATTTTAAAAGATGATGCTGTTAAGGTGCTACACTCAATATGCCAGCAAGTTTGGAAAACTCAGCAGTGGCCAGAGGATTGGAGAAGATCAGTCTACATCCCAATCCCAAAGAAGGGCAGTACCAAAGAATGCTCCAACTACCACACAATTGCCCTCATTTCACACGCTAGCAAGGTTATGCTTAAAATTCTACAACGCAGGCTTAAGCAGTATGTGGACAGAGAACTCCCAGAAGTGCAAGCTGGATTTCGAAGGGGCAGAAGAACCAGAGACCAAATTGCAAACATGCGCTGGAATATGGAGAAAGCTAGAGAGTTCCAGAAAAACTTCTGCTTCATTGACTATGCAAAGCCTTTGACTGTGTCGACCACAGCAAACTATGGCAAGTTCTTAAAGAAATGGGAGTGCCTGATCACCTCATCTGTCTCCTGAGAAATCTCTATGTGGGACAGGAAGCTACAGTTAGAACTGGGTATGGAACAACTGATTGGTTCAAAATTGGGAAAGGAGTACGACAAGGCTGCATATTGTCTCCCTGTTTATTAAACTTATATGCAGAATTCATCATGCGAAAGGCTGGGATCCATGATCACTGCAGATGGTGACAGCAGTCACGAAATTATAAGATGCCTGCTTCTTGGGAGAAAAGAAATGAGAAACCTAGACAGCATCTTAAAAAGCAGAGACATCACCTTGCCAACAAAGGTCCGTATAGTTAAAGCTATGGTTTTCCCAGTAGTGATGTATGGAAGTGAGACCTGGACCATAAAGAAGGCTGATCACTGAAGAATTGATGCTTTTGAATTCTGGTGCTGGAGAAGACTCTTGAGAGACCAATGGACTGCAAGAAGATCAATCCATTCTTAAGGAAATCAGCCCTGAGTGCTCACTGGAAGGACAGATCCTGAAGCTGAGGCTCCAATACTTTGGCCACCTCATGAGAAGAGGAGACTCCCTGGAAAAGACCCTGATGTTGGGAAAGATGGAGGGCACAAGGAGAAGGGGACGACAGAGGACGAGATGGTTGGACAGTGTTCTCGAAGCTACAAACATGAGTTTGACCAAGCTGCGGGAGGCAGTGGAAGACAGGAGTGCCTGGCGTGCTGTGGTCCAGGGGGTCACAAAGAGTCAGACACGACTAAACAACTAAACAACAAAACAACAACAACAACATCCCATTTGTCCATTAGGGAGGAAAAATCCAAACATGTCTGCTTGCATTTTTTGCCTATTAGAAGTTGCCAAGCCAATAATAAGATTCTCTTCTAAGTTAAGAACATCAAAGCTTCTCCTGGGGAGATTCTTCCATCTTTCCTTCTCAAGTGATACAGGATGAGTTGATGGTGAATAGCAATTTAAAAACAAAGCCGTTTGATCCACCAATTTAAAAACCCTGCTGCAGTGTGTTCACAGATAGCTTTTTAGAATAGGCTAGGGGAGATAAGATAAGAATCTCAGGCAAGAACACAAACATCCATCAGGCTTACACTTAAAATGGATTTCGCATAATGGCACAGACCCAGAGTGAGAGCTAGCGCAAATCAGAACAGATACCAGCTTTTGTTGGGCTGTTTAGTTGTGGTGTATTGTTATCTCCCACCAAAACATTTCTGCAGAAGGCAATTCATCACCTCTTCCCATTCAGCAAGACCAACTTACAAGGATGGCGTACTGCCTCTTTCACAATGCCCTGTGGTTCCATTAAAGCCCTAATTTAACACAGATAACTTCTTGCAAGGGATGGGACTGATTCAGCCTGCACCATTCTATGACCTTGCAAATGTTCCTTAGGAAGCAGCTGGCAAAACTCAGCCTTGGCCCAAGCCCACTGGTCTTTCTCCATTGTCCTGAGCAGCACTGCTGCAGCTGCTGGCAACACGCTCAGATCCTAAGTGGACAGAGCACCAGAACATGGAAGATCAACACTGCTGATGGGCCTCAGGCTTTGAGGTCATGGCTTGTGTTCAGAAAAAGGCGAGAGAGAAACAGAATGCCAACTCAGGTGTGCTTGCGTTGTCATTTTGCTATGCATTTACTGAAAGAACTACCATCCCTGGGAAGGCCCATATACCTGGAGGGTGGGACCATTCCCCCCCTGAAGATGTGCTTTATTTTGGTTGCAATCTGATGTGCACATACTTAGAAGAAAAACCCAGTGACAATCAACTCAAAGGTACTCCCTGCTGGGTAAACTTACTTCAAACAAAGCTGTTAATTATCAATAGATGGTCCACTTGCGGTTCTGAGCAATGAAGGAAACAAATTCCCACAGGCATCTTGATGTCCAGCATGAGAAAAGATTGCTGGACTGGATGGGCCTTCGATCTTATCCATCAGAGATATTCTGAATGTTAAAGGGACAAGGTGGAGAGCTCTGGGATTTGGAGTAAGTGCTTCTGTCCTTCTGAAAGGACAGATTCGGAGTGAGCATAGCTAACTCACTGGGAATGGGTACCCATTAAGGGAGACCTTAAGACAGAATGTGTGGATTAACCAAGTAGTTGCTCTGGAAATTACCATGGAGGTAAACTGAATTTCCCTTAAAAAGTAGCATGGGATCACATCATGGGGAAACAGCACCCATGCTACTGGGGGCATAGTATCATTCTGTCAGCACACCCACGAAGGAGGGGGCTGAGATCGCCTTCAGAAACCAAGTATCCCATTGAGGCATGAGACCTTTTCAAGGAAGGAAAAAATACAACTTAAAAGCTAAGTATTGCAATTGAAAGTGAGGCAATTATTAGGAAATCCTAGCTTTCTCTCATTCACTGCTGCTGACTTGGCCCCTTGCTTTGTTTAGAGCAAATAAACAGCAGCCCAGGCTCTCTCACCATTGCTCGAGCTTCCTCTCGTATGGATGGAATAGCGAGGATGCTGTAAAGTGCCCCATTCACGTACGGGTGAATCTGCAAATGAAAAGCAATGTATAAGCCCATTTCGCACCACCTGAGACACCGTCTAATGCTCATCCTCTCCCTCTTCTGTCCCACCTCCCCTCAAGAACCACATCTTCAGCAATGCCTTTCCAAGCTGCCCTGCACCTTCGCTTGCTCTTCCTTAACTCACCATGTAGTATTATGGCTAAAAGTGCAATGTACAAGCCAGGAAGTCCCCAGGTCATATTTCACTTCCACCATTAACTCAATTGGAGACCTTAGGCAAGCCAACCTCTCTAAGTCTCTATCCCCAGGGTGCAGTTTGGAGGGACGGACCCTGACCTGCCTTGCAAAGATGTATAAGATCAGAATACAAAGAATAAGATAAGAATATGAAACCCTTTGAACACGAAACACTATCCATTTTAGTCATGAGATGTTCCACACAAGTGTTCTCAAAGCCGCTTAAATAAAAAGTGAACACATCATAAAAACACACCAATAAAAAATAATCATGTTTCCTGTCGCAATTGAACTGACTTATCTACAAAGACCTAAATGGCTTGTGACCAGGATGCTTAAAAGACTGTCACTACCACCTGACCCTTGTCATTCACCAAGGCGGTGGTTCTCAAACTTTCTTCTCTGGGCCACACTTTCAGAAAACAATTTGCTTGTGCTACACCCAGCTTTTTTACTGATAAAGAAATATATTGGGAAACAACAACAACAACAACAAAAACACCCGCTAGCAGTGCTTCATTTATAACACAGAACACAACTATTTTATAGGACATCCAGAAAGTATAAAACAATTTAGCTACATAAGAACAAGAATCATTCTCAAAGTACATGTATGCACCTTAAGTATGTACACAAATGCAATGAGAGTTGTGAGCTTGATTTTGCTGGGAAATCTCATTTATATATCAGGTCTAATTTGAGACAAACAAACTCTCATCTCCTCATCAACACAAATAGACCTTTCTCTTCTCTGATATTTCACATTTGTCAAGTTGAAAGTACTTGCTCACAACAGTATGTCCTGGAAAACTGCAAAAGAATAGCCAATGCTCACAAAGAGAGGCGTGGATACTATACTATATGTCATTGAAATGATCAATTTTTTCTTTGATTGCCCTTGAATCTTCCCACCATCTTCTCCTGCCAAACAGCACACCCTGTGAGAACCACTGCACTAAAGTTAGGCCCTTCTGCACGTCCTGCCACCATCTAAAGCAGTGGTGGCCAAACTTGGCCTTCCAGCTGCTGTTGGACTACAACTCCCATCATCCCTAGCTAACAGGACCAGTGGTCAGGGATGATGGGAACCGTAGTCCCAAAACAGCTGGAGGGCCAAGTTTGGCCACCACTGGTCTAAAGTGTGGTCGACGGGAAAGAAGGATACTGTTTTCCACCACTGAACCCAGGCTGTGGAATTCTTTGCCCCACAAGAGTTCTCCGGTTGTACAGTTCCAGGTACAAAGGCAACCTTCTCCAAACCGGAGATTGCCAGCTGTTTGGGACTGCGGTTCCCATCAGCCGCTGCCACCAAGATGCTGCTGCTATTAATGCAATACTTTCAGTTTGCAAATAGCCCTCCAAAGCCACGGAAGCTGATGGCTCTGTGTCCTGACAACTCCAGATGCTGAGATCTGGAATTGGGAGAGCAACATGTGGGTTTATGCAGAAGGACCGCATGACACAGAGGGTTGTGACTCGGGGTCAGAGAGATACTTTGAAGATAATTCCAGCAACTGGCAGTCTGGAATCCAAATGGGCTTGGTAAGAATGATACAGCTGTCTGACATTTCTTACTTTTTCTGTTACCCTTTGAGAATTCTAAAAAGAGGGTGGAGGGAAGAAGAGTGCCTTTGCAGAGTCCAGATAATTTCCCAAGATGAAGAACTTCTATTCGCCACCAAGGTATTTTCAGAAACAGTCACACACCCAGATTTTTATTTGCAATAAATAGAAGATGTTCTGTTTTGATTTCTAAAAGTGTTTTATCTTTGCCTCCTTCCTTCTTTATACCTGCAAGCATTAGCTATAAAATTACCTCGTGGTTCTCGTGGCCAAGGAGATCTGAGAGAACTTTGAGTACCTCGTTTGCAATGTTCACACACATTTTCTTCCCTGTGGAGGTTCAAAACACAGAGACAAAATACCATCGAGTCAAAAGCATTCCTTAGAAGAAGAAGATGGCATTTTGATTTCCCCCAGACCCATTCATATGACCTGGCTACCCTTCGAGATCTTAACTGCCTTGAGTCCCTGTCAGGGAAAAATGGGAGGTATAAATAAATATATAAGAAGTAGAAGACAAAGAAGAAGAATTAACGGCACAACCTTTGGGATTTTTGAGATTTAGACCAGGAAGAGCCTGCTGGATCAGGCCACGTTACAGGGAACCAGGCAGAGGGCCTTCTCGGTGGTGGCACCCGCCCTGTGGAACGCCCTCCCACCAGATGTCAAAGAGAACAACAACCACCAGACTTTTAGAAGACATCTGAAGGCAGCCCTGTTTAGGGAAGCTTTTAATGTTTGCTGCATTACTGTATTTTAATATCCTGTTGGAAGCTGCCCAGAGTGGCTGGGGAAGCCCAGCCAGATGGGCGGGGTATAAATAATAAAGTATTATTATTATTATTATTATTATTACCCATCTAGCCTGGCATCCTGCTCTGACAGTGGTCTACCAGATACCTGGAGGAAGAGCTGGAAGACACCATTTTGGCTACCACAGAAGTAAATGCTACTGAGTTGGATGTGCTAATGGTCTGACTCAGTAGAAGGCACCAGGGAGGGTGGGAGGTGCTTGTGGGGTTTTCTGCCTCAGGTGCCAAAGAGGTTGGCTGCTATTAGGAACCAGGAGCAGGACTGCAATTTGCTTCAGGCAGCAAAACCTCTTGTGCTGGCACTAGGTCAGCATTGTCTAGGGTTGAGTCTTTCCCACTCTCTGCTTAAAAAGGTAAAGGGACCCCTGACCATTAGGTCCAGTCGTGGCCGACTCTGGGGTTGCAGCACTCATCTCGCTTTACTGGCCGAGGGAGCCGGCGTACAGCTCCCGGGTCATGTGGCCAGCAGGACTAAGCCGCTTCTGGCGAACCAGAGCAGCACACAGAAACGCCGTTTACCTTCCCGCTGGAGTGGTACCTATTTATCTACTTGCACATGCTTTTGAACTGCTAGGTTGGCAGGAGCAGGGACCGAGCAATGGGAGCTCACCCCATCGCGGGGATTCAAACCACCGACCTTCTGATCGGCAAGCCCTAGGCTCTGTGGTTTAACCCACAGCACCACCCGCGTACCTTCACTCTCTGCTTACCTGATCCAATTTGGATAATATACAAGCCATTTTATCCGCACTGTGTTTCCAAACCAATTCACAACAGACATCTGAGCAAACTAACCCAAGTCCTATTAGGCCCCCTTTGACATGGGTGTTATTGAAAGGCCTTTGCCCCACCGATTCCTGCCTCTGGGCCCCCTCCCCACTGGGATGTGCCCCACCCCACCCCAGAAAGCTCACCATGGGGAAATGCAGTCCCCAAGCTAAAAAAAAGGTTTCCCATCCCCGCTGCACATAATATTTCCTTACACGAACTGAAAGATACCTGAGCTCCGAAGGCAGAGGTTCATGAGCAAGGCTACAGAGTAGGCCAAAGTATAATCGGACATGCTGTCTGTATCTTTGAGTGCATCCACCAACCACAGGATAAGCCCATCTTTGATCATAGTCGACTGCAGAGCCCGCCTGGGAATTCAAAGACAGCGACAAACGTTTGTTTGTTGATTATTCTTAATAATCAATTAATAATCTCTGTGAGAACAGGATGCTGAGGTAGGTGGGCCTCTGACCCGATCCTGCGGGCCTCCTCTTAACATTCAAAAATCTGCCACTTGAAATCCATCACCTCCACTTAGCTTGCATCCAATGAGAAAATTTGCAAGATACAATCTCCTGGAATAACTAATTTGTGGCACATTGTGATCCCATCGCACATGAAGCATTTCACAAGACTACTCAGTATGCTAACTGCAGGAAAAGCCAGCTCATGATGTCTTAAACTGTGTACAAAGTGGTCCCATGAAATAGCCCTAAATCAGTTATCAGGGTGAGAAGAAGGAACCCAGAAGGAAAGTTGGGGCTTTTTTTTCTGTTTTTAAGCTATGAAGCCATAAATAGTCCCGATAGCAAGGCAGTTAATGTTTCACTCCCTTCTTTATGCCTCTGTCGCTCTCACCCCTTTCTTCAAATGCTAAAATAAACCATGACCCATAAAAAGAGCTAATGAAGGGATGTATTTATGGTTATTGCAGCAGCTGATACTGCTGGGGCCTATTTTCTCCTTTCTCCAGACAGACCCTTGGCTTATTTAACTCTTTCCTCACCCAGCTTACTCTGCTTGGCGTAAGGTGCCACCAGTGGACACTTGCCAATTACTCAAAACTCAATGTAATCTCTATGCACCTGACCTAACATATTCCCCCCAACAAATGAAGGAGGCAGCTGAGAAACATTCAAACACAACGATTCCAAAGTTGGATACAAACATTTGTGCCCCATCTGCTTTTCAAAAAGATTGGAAGCTTCAGCTGCCACAGACATAGCAGCCAAGGAGGAAGGCAGTCGGATCGTTACTGTCATGAAGTAGTGATCCTGTGAGCAAGTATTGCTGGAGGGGGAGGGTCAGGCATTTGGTAACAATTAGTCCCCAAAGTGGGAATATGCGATCGGGCTGGCTGGTTGCCAGCATTCCCCGGCCCCTATAAATCTTTGCTGTACTGTTTTTAACATTTGATTGGGAGCCGCCCAGAGTGGCTAGGGAGACTCAGCCAGATAGGCAGGGTATAAATAATAAATTATTATTATTATTATTATTATTATTATTATTATTATTACCTGCCAGGGAAGGGAGAGAAAACACCGTGTTTTAGACTTGCTGTTTGATGTTCTGTAGCTGGCGCCAGCCAATAAAGCCTGGTAACCCGTTTGGTGCCTGTGTGTGACTGATTAGTAGCTTGGAGGGAGGATTCAGGAAAGCGGCCCCCTCCCTTGACAATTGTCACCCTAGTGATGTTTCAGCTACGCTGGCTCAGAATCGGCTTTCAAATCCGATTCACAGTGCCCCAAACAGTCTGGGACCAGGATACAGTGGCGCAGGGAGTCCCAGTGGCACCAGGGATGGGTGCCCGCAAGCGCCACTCCATAGGGTGGGACATTCTGGGGGCGGGGTGTGCCACCAAAGCTGCGTCCCTCCCAGGCGTCCTCCACCTAGAGGGCAGATGCCAGCCCCGCGCTGCCTTTTTGGGACAGCTGAGGGAGAGGCAGTAGGCGTGGAGCTGGAAGGTGCTGCACCTTAGGGTCTGGTGTGCCTCCCCCAAGGTAAGTGCGGCCTGGTGTGCCCCACCCCTTCCTCTGCTACTGCCAGGATACCTTAAGGACCGCCTCTTTCTGTGTGAAGCTGCTCTTGGAGTCAATAAATGAATGAAAGCCCTGCTGGGTCTCCTCCGCCACCCCCCACTGTCTCAATTATACACAGCAGGGCCTTCTCAGTGGCCATCCTAGGCTGCGGAAGGCCCCTTGCAAAAAGGCCTGCATGTCTAGCTCATTTCCCAGAAGGTGGAAGAAGTAACAAGGGGATCCTCTATCTTGGACCTGGGCCTCACAACAAGGAGGAACTGATCTAAAGGGCTGTCACATGGAAGATGTAGAAGCTTTCTTTCTGCCGCTCCAGAGGCTGGGACCCAAACTGTTGGATTCAAGTTACAAGAAAGGAGATTCCGACCAAACATCAGAAATACCGTATTTTTCTCTCTATAACACGCACCCGACCAGAACACGCACGTAGTTTTTAGAGGAGGAAAATCCGTAGGCATGCCACCCGTAGGCATTCCCTCCATAACACGCACAGATATTTCCCCTTACTTTTTAGGAGGAAAAAAGTGAGTGTTATGGTGCAAAAAATACGGTAACTTTCTGACAGTAACATACGTTCAACAGTGGAACGGACTACATTTCAGTGCAAAAGACAACAAATCCAGCCCCTCCCTGGATTATAAGATTTGCATCATATAATCACTTTATATTTAAGAATAACAGATAATAGTTCAGTCAAGTATGTTTATTTCTTTGTTAGATATCATGTCACTGATTCTCTCTAAGGCAGGCTTCCTCAAACTTGGCCCTCCAGATGTTTTGAGACTACAATTCCCATCATCCCTGACCACTGGTCCTGCTAGCTAGGGATCATGGGAGTTATAGGCTAAAAACATCTGGAGGGCCGAGGTTGAGGAAGACTGCTCTAAGGCTTAAAAAAGGTTAATTTCACAAGTCTACTGCTTTAATCAATCCTCTATTGTTTGGCATCTATAGATACATTTCCCCCAAAGTGTGTAATGAGGGATGCATGGTTCACTTACATATTTCTCCTCAATATGGTTTGTTTTAATGTTCTGTCTGTATAAATATCAAAAAGTATGTGCAATGATCACTAAAATGAGATAAAGGGATGCGTAAGTTGAGTATGATTATGCGGGAAAAGGCAAATCACTTTGCCAACCAAGCTCCCTCTGAGCTCTCTTCCTCCTCCAGCTCTAAGCGATGCTCCTGTCATCAGCTCTGGAGTGCTCTGATGACAGTTATATGAAAATCAGGCCTTCTTTCGTCCCTGAATGCAACCTAACAAGCCTGCGTTTCCTCTCCTGCCGCCAGCAGGGCCCCTCTGCTTTCATCACCTGAGGCTGAGTTTCTGCAAAGCCCCCAGGACGTTCTCTCGAGTAAGGGAATACTTGTCTTCGGCTTTCAACCTTTCTTCCAGCATTCGGAGCAACCGGGGATTCTGGGAAAGGTAGATTCGGCCTGGATAAAACAGGGCAAAGAATGAGACAGAGGAGAGCATCTCGGGGAAGGAACAGGCCCCTGAGATACAGTTTCTAAACGATTCTTGCAAGATTCATCCCAAATTGTTTATATTACCCTTGCTGGGTTTCCCCCCGTAGATCTTGTTTCTCTTTCTTGTGCATTGCTGCAAACGGACAGACCATTTCTACAACCAGAGCTTGAGGATAACCTTGGCTGCATCAGAGGGAAAAGTGGAACAGCAACTGGCCTGGCTAGGACCAAGTCTTCTCTACGAACTGCCCCCACCTCCACTTGGCCATTCCACTTGGTTGCATTGGAGAGGTGAGGCTACAAGGCCTCTTCCACTGGCTTGGCTAGAACCGTGTCATCTGTCTCCTTCTGTCTAATAACCATCCCCACCAGGAGCCACTCCCACCAGGTGGCATCCGAGGGATTGCTGGGAGAGTGAGCCCCCACTTCATCCACCTGGCTAGGCCAGCTGCCATGTGATCCTTCCCTCCCAGGACTGTTTCATTCATTGGTCACAGAGCTTAGATTTAATTACTTTCCTCTAACCTCACTGCCCCCTTTCCCTTTCGTAAGATCTATATTAAATGGTAAACCATCATTTTAAAACTGTGAGCCGCCTTGGCTGAATTGACAGAAAGCCCATATATAAAGGCAATAAAAAATTTAGAACGGCAAATCAGCTGTACCTGGGCAAACGTAAGATTCTCTCTTTAAACATTTATTCTCTTTCTATTGGCCTTACAGCCGCCTCAGCATCCAACGTCACCTCCCTGCCCTCTGTTTTATGGGAAACCCTACAGCTGATGAAAACAAGTTTTGTGCAATTTAAAAGCCTGCTTCAAGCACTTCTGGCTGCCCTTTGACCCAATAAAAGCATTGCCTCTTGTGCTTTGCAGTTCTTCTTCTGCAGTCAATACACCTCCAGGGTACCCACCAAGGAGCTGGACATTAAACAAGCCCTCAATAGGGACAAAAGATGATGAACTTCCACACAATGAACTTCCACGCACAAGAACAATGAACGTTGTTTTGACTCTTTTCCCACAAGCACCCTGCCCCATAATCTTAAGCTTCTCCTCCAGCCAAGATCTGCATGCGTGTGTGCACACATGCACCGCAGAATCCTGGATTGCTCTCGGCTGTGCCATTGAGTAGCCATGCTTCACATACGGTGGTACCTCGTGTTACGTACTTAATCAGTTCCGGAGGTCCGTTCGTAACCGGAAACTGCTCATAACACGAGGTGCGCTTTCACTAATGGGGCCTCCCGCTGCTGTCGCACCGCTGGAATGCGACTTCCGCTCGCATCCCGGGGCAAAGTTCGCAACAAGGGGCATCTATTTACGGGTTAGCAGAGCATGTAACCCGAAGCATTCGTAAGGAGGATGGTACGTAACACGAGGTACCAGTGTATATGGTTTCATCCAAGATGCTGGCTGACAGACGCCCCGTGCAATGGCATTCCGTCAAACTGCAAGATCTACAGCGCAGTCCAGCCACAGACCTTGATGCCACATATCTCTGCATCACACGGCACCACACCAGGCTGCCCGTCCTTATGTCCTGCCATCTCAGAGTGCCTTCACTGCTTTATGCCAGTTTCCCACAAAAAGGCATAAAGGGCACAAAGTGAAGCCATCAGATGTCAAGGAGATAAAGAACTACACAACTTTTTAGAAGACATCTGAAGGCAAGTTCTTAATGTCTGGCGTTTTATTATGTTTGTGCTGGAAGTCACCTATTATCATTAGTAAAAAAGGTAAAGGTGCCCCTGCCCGTGCGGGCCAGTCGTGTCCGACTCTAGGGTTGCGCGCTCATCTTGCTCAAGAGGCCGGGAGCCGGCGCCATCCGAAGACACTTCCGGGTCACGTGGCCAGCGTGACGAAGCTGCATCTGGCGAGCCAGCACCAGCGCCGCACACGGAAACGCCGTTTACCTTCCCGCTATAAAGCGGTACCTATTTATCTACTTGCACTTTGACGTGCTTTCGAACTGCTAGGTGGGCAGGAGCTGGGACCGAACGACGGGAGCTCACCCCACCGCGGGGATTCGAACCGCCGACCATGCGATCGGCAAGTCCTAGGCACTGAGGTTTTACCCACAGCGCCACCCGCGTCCCTTATCATTAGTAGTAGTAGTATTAATTTAGGGATGCTGAAAATAATTGTGAATGTGACAATTCTATCGATACCAAAATCGCTCTGAGTTTGCCACGTAATAAAAGGCCTCATCCAACAGGCCTGCAAGTCAGGTACTTATTGGAGGAGAGCGCCTGCATTACAGCCAAGTCTCCTCCTGGGCTGGAAACCACGTGAGTTTAAGAAAGCCAATCCATAGCTGTCAACTTACAGATTTGAAAATAAGGGACCAGCAGCATCGGAAATAAGGGATCAGCAGCCAAAATAAGGGATTTCCCCAGCACAGGTATGTTCAACTTCTGAGCCCCTCCGAGCCAAAGGCAGAAAGCCCAGCCAGCAGCCAAACAAAGCCTCAAGCGGTGGTTCCCACAGCACAGCAACCCCGCAAAGGGGATGCAGCAAGGAAAACCACCGTCACCTCTCCACTGGGAAGCGCTGAGCAAAGGCGAGTCCCCAGGTAATGCGGCCGATTTGATCGGCACAAGGCATGCAAGCTCCACCCCCCAGTCATTCTTAGACTCCTTATTGGGTGAGCAACGCAGCCAAGCAACACAGTTGGAGCCTCCCTCCTCCCTGGCCGGCAGGGAGGGAGGGAGGGAGAGGAGCTGCTTCCTTTGAAACCCGGGAAATTTAAGGGACATCATTAATAAGGGACAGCAGTAGGACACGGCGCTGGGATAAGGGAGTTTCCCGCCAAATAAGGGACGGTTGACAGCTATGAGCCAATCCCCTTCCCTGCCTGTTTAGCTCCCAAGACCTGCTATCTGGGCAATTAATCACTAACAGGGACCACCTCTGCATTGCACCTTGTTGGGAGTGTGCATGCTCTGCAATGCAGAGGGTGCTATGCCATTCCAGGTCTGCAAAAGTCCTCATCTCTGATCCTGGAGCACTGCTGCTTGCCTGTGTAGACTGGGATGGCTAACCTGTGGCCCCTCCACATGTTGATGGACTGCAACTCCCATCGCCCCTGACCATTGCCTATTGACTGGCTGGGGTAAGAGTCAAGCAACAGCTAGAGGCCTGCAGGATAGCCACCTCTGGTGTGGACAATACTGAGCTTGGTGGGCTGATGCTCAGATTCAATATATGGTGGGTTTCTATGATAGCTTCAGACTGACTGGTGTGTTCCACTTCCTTGCCAGCACTGGGTCTTAAGCACTGGCTCCCTCGGCCTGAAGCAAAATGAGTGTCGCGTCCCACAGTCGCCTTTGACTGGACTTAACCGTCTGGGGGTCATTTACCTTACCTTAAGCACTGACACAACCCATTAGGACACTTACATATACAGTGGTACCTCAGGTTACATATGCTTCAGGTTACAGATGCTTCAGGTTACAGACTCTGCTCACCCAGAAATAGTGCTTCAGGTTAAGAACTTTGCTTCAGGATGAGAACAGAAATTGTGCTCCGGTGGTGCGGCGACAGCCGGAGGCCCCATTAGCTAAAGTGGTGCTTCAGGTTAAGAACAGTTTCAGGTTAAGAACGGACCTCTGGAACGAATTAAGTACTTAACCCGAGGTACCACTGTAAATACTACAAGCCAACAGAGTTGAAAAACAGCTACCTTGGTAGCCGTTCTCTTCTTACCTTCAGCTAGTGAAGCAAATGCATTGATAAGCCTGGCTGTATATTGACGGACAACCTCGCTCTTTGACTGTATTAACATTAACACGCTTCTCTGCAGGAGACAAAAAGACAATTCAGTGCTTGAGTCTTGAAATTATATCTATCTATAGATATATCTCAATGAGATATATATCTCGGCAAAGACTGTGTCACAAGTAGCTGAGTTGTACAATACACAAAGAGAGGCATCTGTGCTGATTATTAGGCAAATGGGTGCCACGCCCTCGTCTGATGCTCACTTGCGGGGAGCTAGATTCCTAGGACAGGGGGCTGACTAAACTCAGGAGGGTTAAGGTAGCAGTCAGATATCGGGGCACCCTAGAAACGAAGAAGCTGGGGTGAGGCCCAGTGAGGCAGTCTAAAAGAGGGTGGTTCCCGTATCTGTGAGGCAAATCCAAGGACACAGGAGAGCAGTCCAAAGGTGTGTGGGGTTTTCCAAGGGCCGGGCGTGAGCAGGGATCAGGAGGAAAGGGCAGGAAGCAGGAACAAGAAACTGGGCTGCACTGAGCTAAGGTCTGTGTTGTTATTCCAACAACAAGCAGTTTTCAAGTGGGAACTTGTGTAGCCTGATCTTCCAGACAGAGTAACAATATTTAGCCCAGCCACCAAGTTTCTCTGCTTCTAAGCAGACCCTCTTCTTCCCAAGAAAGCCGGTTCTGATGTGCCTTGTGCCTTCGATGGGTGGCTTCCTGTGCCAGCACCTTCTGACACTGGCATTCCCAGAAAGCTAGCTGTGGGCTCTCCCACTGATCTCCCACTGATTGCCAATGCTCACCTGGACATTGCTGTAGCAGTCCAGAAGATCGTTGTTGATATAAGCCTGGAGAACGGTGTCTCTCTGCTCACCAGGATGGGATGTTGTCAGGCGCTATAAAAGAAGCACGGAGGAACAAGCATCAAGCGCACAGCTATCATCTATAATTAGAGAAATTATTTAGGCACAAGAAGGCAGCACTTCCTCATCGCCCTTCTCTGCTAAACAATCATCCCCCAGGGCCGGCTCAAGACATTTTGTTAGCTGAGGCCGAAGTCAAGATGGCACCCACTCCCAAATCCTACAGAAGCCAACCAGGCTTGCAGTTCAGTCCTACATTGATGCTGGCAACAGGGCGGCATCCTCATTCCTTTCATCTTATGGAAGAAGGCTAGCTTGTGGGTTGCAGGCCAGGCCATGCGTGGTACGTACAGCTCTATCCTCCAACATCTCACCACCACTCTTGGCCCCTACCCACAACTACTGCCACCGAGGTAGCTGCCTCACTCTTCTAAACAGCAGGAGTTATGCAGCTTGCCAAAGGTGTGGACCTTCTGCATTTGCACCAAAAACACATAAACTAGTACTGGGCTGAGAATTCAGCATCCAAAGAAACTCAGATTTTTCTTCTTCTTTTGGTTAAAAAATAAAATAAAGCCCTCCTCACTCAGAATTACACTAAAAGGAGAGACTTGTGAGAGGGTCTAGGCAGCAACAACGTAGGAACATTTTGAGAGAAGGTCCACCTTCCCTCCAAGGTCATCAACTTGATTGCTCTGTTCCTTGCCAATTGGGTCGAACAACCACAAAGGAAGGATGGATGCTCTAGGAAGCAGCACCAGCCCTGCATCAACTGGAGGCTGGTTCGTTAGGGCTCACTGCCCCACTGATGGCAGTCTGCCCTTACCCAGTTCACACCCAGCGGTGGAGAAAGAAGAAGACGACGAAGAAGAGGAGGAGTCTGGATTTGATATCCCGCTTTATCACTACCCAAAGGAGTCTCAAAGTGGCTCACAATCTCCTTTCCCTTCCTCCCCCACAACAAACACTCTGTGAGGTGAGTGGGGCTGAGAGACTTCAGAGAAGCGTGACTGGCCCAAGGTCACCCAGCAGCTGCATGTGGAGGAGCAGGGAAGCGAACCCGGTTCACCAGATTACGAGTCCACCGCTCTTAACCACTACACCACACTGGCTCTCGGGCACCTGGGGCAGCGTGCCTGGGCGGCGCAGGTCGCCCATAGGGGCAGGGTGCACCGTGGGGCCTCCAGAGCCTGCCTGCCTCCTCCCACTCAGCCGCCCTACAGCTGGGGGGGGGGAGGCAGCGGGCAGACCGTTTGGGCAGCGCAGAGCCTGCACATGCCCAAGCCACTGCGTCTCTCCCAGGAGACAGGTGTGGCTTGGGCGCGCTGCAGGTCCTGTGGTGAGTGCCGCCCAGCATTTTGTTGCCCCCCCCCCCAGTGGTGATACCCAGGGCGGCCTGCACCCACCGCACCCCCCTTCCTCTGCCCCTGTTCACACCTGCCTGCCTTCTTATTTGTAACCAGTTCAGGGGATGGCCCTGCCTGTCAGCTTCCTCCCCTTCCTTAGTCTCCATGCTGCCCTTGTGAAACTGAGCAGGGAGCAGGATGGGGCAAAACTCAAATTAGTTGGTTCCGCCTGTCCGTGTCTCTGGCTCCCCCTCCTCCCGGTCTCTCCGCCTTCTGCCCTCCCACTTCCACTGTACCAGCCAGCAATCTCTGCTGCTCACACTTAATTTCAGTGGGTGCTACGTCACATGAACTCTCCGTTTCCCCCCTTAACCACCCTCCCTTTTCAGCTCCTCAAATGGTTTTCTGCGACATGGAATTCAAATTTCCCCTCTGCATGCTCAAAGACTGGAAAGGGGCCAGAGTGAATTCTCAACCCTGAAAGTCAAACGGGGTGAGGCAGTGCAGCCCAGAGAGGGCAAAGACAACAGCAAGCAGAATTTGGGACAGTCAAATTTGGCAAGAGAGACCAATTAATATCCAGGACTTGGAATGCTGCAACATTTGTTGGTGAGGATGGGGTTATGTCATATTCCTTGCAAGAGAGGCACCTCTCTGTTCTCTAGCTCACCCACCCAGCGCAATGCCTGCAGCAAGAAGGTTTTCAGGCGGTCGCTCCCTTCAACCAGGTCTTTCTTTAGCTTCTCGTAATCCAAAGATGGCAAGAGCGGCACCTCCTGCATTTTCCTGCATGGCAAAATGAGAAAAGATGCACTTATGAAAAGCATAGTGACTTCTTTCAAAGTTGCACGTTGATCCCAGCCAAGTGAGACATTTGGAGATGGAAAACCTGTGCAAGGAATGCACCACTTCAGACCAAAGGTCTGAATATACCTCCATATTAAAAAATGAATTCTTACACATAAAAAGGTAAGGGGAAAGGTAGCCAGTGTGGTGTAGTGGTTAAGAGCAGTAGACTCGTAATCTGGGGAACCGGGTTCGCGTCTCTGCTCCTCCACATGCAGCTGCTGGGTGACCTTGGGCCAGTCACACTTCTCTGAAGTCTCTCAGCCCCACTCACCTCACAGAGTGTTTGTTGTGGGGGAGGAAGGGAAAGGAGAAAGTTAGCCGCCTTGAGACTCCTTTGGGTAGTGATAAAGCGGGATATCAAATCCAAACTCTTCTTCTTCTAAGGCAGGGCTAAAAACCCATCTCCATGACCTGCTAGCTTTCCGTGTGCAGGGATTTAATTTTTTTTCAAGGAGGAACATTTCATCATGTGAGTGCCCACCTGCCTTTTGAAGTGGTACAGTCCACAGAGGCTTACCACTTTTGTCTGACTTAGTGCACAGTATGTCCCCAGACCTATCTTTTCATTAGGGTTAGCTCCATCCCAAGATGCAGACTCTGCTCCTTTACAGATAAGCACAGTCCCATGATCCTCTGCCCTGCGACCCACTGTGTTTGAAAGGTTTTGATTGTTTCAAGCACCTTGGCAATAATGCTGCAAGGCAGTGTGGTCATATCCCCTATGACCACCACTGACACTAGTTTGCAATTAGTTTTTCAGGTTACCCTAAACTGGTTTCCACTCAAGTGGGATTAGAAGGGCAGGAAGTTGTGGAGTACACTCACTTCCAGGGCCGTCTTACCCATAGGCGCTAGGGGTACGGGGCACCCAGGCGCCGGGTTCTCAGGGGCGCCAGGCCAAGAGTTTGGGGCCCGAGAGTTGAGTCCGGGGAAGAGCCCGTTCGTTGGTCGGAGCGCTGCGACGGGCTCTGCACCGCAAGTTCGGGGGCGACTGAGCCAGCGAGATGCTGAGGCGGCTGGCCAGCTCCAACCTCCTGCGCGCCTGGGACTGGGCAACTGGGGGGGGGCAGTGGGTGGATCTTTGCACCCTGGCACTGCATATGCTTAAGACAGCCCTGCTCACTTCCAAGAGGGTCAGATGAATGAAAGGAGTCTCCATTTCAGCTTTGACTTCTCAGTGCATTTCAGGTTACTGCCCAAATTATGCTTTTTTAAAAAAGAATAACAAATTTAAAAGAAAATTACTTACACAGGAACTAATGATGCTCTTAACATTGTTGAGGCCTGTAGTTAAAAAACAGAGAGACAGGGAGAAAGGGAGATTAAAAAAAATTAATCAAGATTTTCTTGGTTTACCAAAGTACGTGCATTGTCTCTTTTTCAGGTTGTGTTTTCTACAGATCAGTTACATTTGTTGTGAGACATTAGTGCTGTATGCAATATAAGGTTGGGGAAGAAAAGAGGGGTGGTGGTAAAACTTATTTAGTTTCTTTTATTTAGTTTATGTTTGGGGTTTTGTGTCTGCATCACTTTGGTAGGTTCGAGAGAGAGAGAGAAAGACTAAGGCAAAACCAAACCTTGGATTTTTCTCATGGCTACCAATACTCTTCCAAAATACAGTTTGGAAACCTTTATTAAAAATGTAGCTTGCATCCAAGGCAGTTGTGATAAATTGAAAAACACCATAAAAGATCTAGGATGATAAAGGCACTGCAAAAAACCACTGCTAATCAGTGAAATAAGCAAAAAAATAAAAATCACCATTGATCATTATCATGAAATGGAGAGGGAGGAGGGCACCCTCATCATAATCCAAAAGTTTTGAGGGAGGGGTTATTTTAAAGACCTAAAGACAAGAAGCCTAGCTGAGGTTTCTAAAAGTCTGGAGAGGGAATTCCATCAGGCTAGCACCACCACTGCCCACAAATCTGGCCTCAGATAGATTTCACTCAAGATTACTTACTGCAGATTAATTATACAGTCTGCTAAGAGATCCCGAGTATGCAATCTTGTTTTATGAATTTAAGGACAAAGGGGTGCTATATATATATAAAAAAGGCAGACCAGGGTGTTACTAGCCCAGAGATGGAAGGAAGAGACAGCCCCGACCAGAGAAGAATGGCAAACCAAGTTGATGGACTATCCAAAACGGCAAAATTAACTGGGAAGCTCAGGAATCAAGAAGACAAGAAATTTTAAAAAGAATGGGAAATGTTTATAATGTATATACAAAATCATTGTAAACTTTTCCGTGTATAAGACTAAGTTTTTTTCTTTAAAAACAATGCTAAAAAATGGGGGGCGTCTTGTAAGTGGGTAGTGCATAGCGTGGGCATTTGATTGGTCGCTGCTGTGGCTGTTAGCGGCTATTGTGCGTGTTATTGGTTGCTGCGTCAGTGGGTGGTGTTGATTGGTTGATACTGCAGCAAATTTGAGTCCCCCAAAATAGGAAGCGTCTTATACATGGGGGCATCTTATACACGGAAAAGTATGGTATGTTTATTCTCAAATAAAAGGATTATGAAAAAGTGAAAAATAATAATAATAAGCAGACCACACAAGACTCAGGCCACACATGCATGCTCCTTGCTCTATCATATGGAGGACTCAAACAGCCAAGGACTCTGAAGGCCACTTCAAGTGGGAACTGTTAAGCCCTGGGAACTCAAGTGTAATACAATCCCAGCAGCTTGTTCTGGGGAACAGCTTGAACAGAATAAGCTTCTAGATCATCCTCAAGGTCCTGCGTGGTTATTAAGGGAACAAACTCTACTCACAGGCTTAACAAACATCTATCAAACAGGACAATTTGGAGGAACAAGAAGTTGGAAACAGAGTTAAGAAAGGTCCAGGAGAAAAGATAAGCTTTTCCAGATGGGGTTTAAATACTTGCAAGGAGGAGAGACGGGTGTAAGTGTTGGAAGCAGGGAGGGGAAGAGTTTCGGATAAACTGAGCATCCAAACAGAACGGATGGAGATTCAAGATGGAAGGAGCCCAAGGCTTAGGCCAAAGAAAAGCACCAGGACAATGATGACACGAGAGCAAGTAAAGAGAAAGAAGGAGGAAAAAGAAGTGACCAAAGCAAAAGCTTACGATTTCAAGTGGCACAAACAAACCAGAAATTCTCCCAGAGTACCTTGTCCACAAATCCGTAACTGACAACAGAAGCATTACTGGTTTTAAGATGACTTGGGACTGTAAAGTTAGGTGCCTGAGAAAGGGAGGACCTTTCTTCAATGCATAACATGCAGCAATCCCAAACTACAAATAAATAATAATAATAATAATAATAATAATAATAATAATAATAATAATTTATTATTTGTAACCCGCCCACCTGGCTGGGTCTCCCCAGCCACTCTGGGTGGCTTCCAACAAAGATTTAAAATACATTAAAATGTCACACATTAAAAGCTTCCCTAAACAGGGCTGCCTTCAGATGTCTTCTAAATGTCAGGTAGTTGTTTATCTCTTTGACATCTGGTGGGAGGGCGTTCCACAGGGTGGGCACCACTACCGAGAAGGCCCTTTGCCTGGTTCCCTGTAACCTCACTTCTCGCAGGGAGGGAACCGCCAGAAGGCCCTCGGATCTGGACCTCAGTGTCTGGGCAGAACGATGGGGGTGGAGACGCTCCTTCAGGTCTACTGGGCCAGGGCCATTTAGGGCTTTAAAGGTCAGCACCAACACTTTGAATTGTGCTCGGAAATGTACTGGGAGCCAACATAGGTCTTTCAGGACCGGTGTTATATGGTCTCGGTGGCTGCTCCCAGTCACCAGTCTAGCTGCCGCATTCTGGATTAGTTGTAGTTTCCGGGTCACCAAGCCCAATATCATTCATTATTCAATCAATCAATCACTTATTGTGTTTGACTAAAAGCCATTACAGATCATTTTTATTAGAATAAAATTAAAAGTGGTATGGGCACTGGTGACCAGATAATCGCCACATACACATCCCAATGCATGATCAAATAGTGGCCAATGGTAGGTTTTTTAAAAAATGTAGAACAATTTGCTGAAATCGAACAATCCATAACAGAGTGAATATCCCAAAAGATGCCTCTTCCTAATAGACCTAGCTCTGGAGTTGATTAAAACCTCTGAAGTCAATGCAAAGTCAGAAAGTCACAGCGAACTATATGCTTTGTGCAATCATTTTATCTCTTCTATTCATGCCATTGTGAAATGTGATGATTGTGCATAGGTTGATCAAACAGCGTAATGGTTGCAAGGTCTGTAAAGTTTCAAGTTGCTGTTATAGGGCATGATTACTGCCCTGTTATGCAGTTACACCCAACATGCTGCCAGTGTACAATTATGGACTTTTACATCATGGGTGTTGCTGACCTCAATATAGTTTCTTCTTTGAGACTATACTGTTTTATTGGAAAAAGAAAGTTCCCAATAAAGGCATTTTTCTCACTTGCAAATGGTGCCACGCATAACACATTTTCCAGGTACAGTTGTGCCGTGGAAGCCAAACATAATCTGTTCCAGAAGTCCATTCAACTTCCGTTTGGCTGCAGGAAGCTCCAGAAGCCGCACTGGATGTTCGGGTTCCAAAGAACGTTTGCAAACCAGAACACTCACTTCTGGGTTTGCGGTGTCCAGGAGCCAAAATGTTCAACTGGCAAGGCGTTTGTCAACCAAGTTACAACTGTAGTTTATTCTTACAGCTTCCTTGGGGTACGTATGACCTCCAAACCAAACTGATACAGTATTTTTTTCTACTGACAAGAGGCTTCATTAAATCGAACACCGTTTAGCCCATCAAAAGCAGTAATGTCTTGCCACGTTTGAATAAGATGCATCTGTTTCAATGCAGGGACTGCACTGAGATTACTTGGAGGCGGCCAAAAGAGGAGGAAAAATATTCTGCGCAGATCTTCCCATTACCCATTTCAACTATGTCAATGGGCACCATTTATTCCCAGAATATTCATCACCATCTTTTTTTGGTTAGAATTAAGACTCCTCACTTTGCAAAATCATTTTCAGGCCCACTAATACCTTTAAAGACTGGCCTTCTTTCATAACTGCGGCTTCTTTCATGGCAGACTCTATAATCAGCGCCTATTGTTAGGCGTTGGAGCTGGGGAGTTTTAGAAGACAAAGGGCACGAAATGTCGGGGAAGATTGTATTACTCCATTTGACATACCTTCCGAGTGCTTGGGAATTTTGCAAAGCTGCCCTATGTAACACAAGGAGCATCTCTGCCACAAACGAATAAGTGTATACCTGCATAGGATGTCATTTCATATTATGCTTAAATCAATGAGTGATGATACATAATAGCCAATTAAAAGCCTTAAAACTAAACATTTCTCTTACAGTACAGGGGCTTCCTTTCACAGCAAGACCGTTGTACAGACACATTGTATTCTACCTAAATCCACTTGCCTTGCACTCATTTTTATTCATTTTATTCATTTTCCTAGGTACTTTTGATTTGTGGTGGCAGTCTTTTTGTTTCGATGAGACATCACCGCCCCCCCCCATCAAAAGCTATCTAACTCAATGAAATCATGCTGATTCGTTCCATCCTAGGCAGTTACCTATCCTGAAAAATATATGCTTGAAGCCTTTAAAAAGCCCAAAAAGAGAGATGTGAAGGATAAAGTGCAAATGTGGCAGCCTGTGGACATTGCTGAGAACCATTCTGGTCCAATCAGTGGATTTTTATTTTTTAAGACTGGATTAAGCATCTGGAAGATATGATTAGTTTTAACGGGTAGGATCTGCAACAAAATGTGGCAGTGTGGAGTGCTTCTTGTTCAGGATTCTAGCCACTTTCTTTCATTCCCTTCCCCAGATTTGCGCATCTGTATATATGTGTATGTATAAAAGACACAGTCTGCCAGCATCCTGTGGTCACAGGACATACTCAGTCCTCATTGGACGGTTTGGAAGGGGCTTCTCCTTATTTCCCCCACTAAATATATATTTTTTAAATACAGCAACCTTGTGGGTCCCCATAAACATGCAGATGCGGCCCACTTTGGATAGCCATCAGCACTCAGAACCGCTATTGGAGGGAAGAATGGAATCATGTTATTTGTGCTCAAAAGCAAGAGTACCCTACGTACACAGAGGAGCTCTCATCCTTGGGAATGGGAAAAAGCATGTTTCGCACGCACACAGTCCCAGCGTCAATCTCTGGTTTCACTAGTTAAAAGGATTAACCCAGGCACCCCCAAACTCGGCCCTCCAGCTGTTTTACGACTACAACTCCCATCATCCCTAGCTAACAGGACAAGTGGTCAGGGATGATGGGAACTGTAGTCCCAAAACAGCTGGAGGGCTGAGTTTAGGGGGTGCCTGGATTAACCGGAAATCCTGAAGCCTCACTGCCACTCAGCATAGAGAACACAGAGCAAATGGTTCTTCCCATGTTTCTGGATGCACATGAGAGGGGCACAGGTCTCTGCTTGAGATTATGTCTGTGCACACTGGGGTGCAGTTTGGCGCTACGCAAGCCTGGCAGTGAATGGGAAGAAGAAGATGAATAAAAGAGTTTGGATTTGATATCCCACTTTATCACACTACCCTAAGGAGTCTCCAAGTGGCTAACATTCTCCTTTCCCTTCCTCCCCCACAACAAACACTCTGTGAGGTGAGTGAGGCCGAGAGACTTCAGAGAAGTGTGACTGGCCCAAGGTCACCCAGCAGCTGCATGTGGAGGAGCGGGGAAGCGAACCCGGTTCACCAGATTACGAGTCCACCACTCTTAACCACTACACCACACTGGCCCTCCCTGGGAAGGGAAAGATGAAGGGATATTGCATGGGGATCCACTTCCACTGTACACAAGGGAGGAGATCAGCTGGGGTTGGGTTCCCTTGGGGCAGCAATGCAAATGGAGACCATCAGGAAACTGAATTCTGCACCATGAATACCACATTCTATGATTTCCCACCCCCCTTTGCTTTGCACAAGCTCCTCTAGGCCTCATAGCATAGGGAAAAGCTTGTGCCTAATGTCTCCGCTAGAAACAGTCTTAAGAGACCATTTCAGCAGGAGACTGGAATCATTCTAAACAGGGCTGGAGTTGTTGTTTTTTCCTATTCCCTAACTCCGCTTTATGTCTGAAGCCTAGAAAGCCAATATCCTCTCCCTGCAAAGAATGCACTGGCTGTGGGCAATCTGGAATGGTCATAAAGGTCTCTTGGCTAGGAGGCCTGCCTGCAAATGGCCATCTGGGCTGCAGAAGGTGCAGCCAGAACCTTGCTCTCAACAAGATGTGCTTTAAGACAATCTGCTTCTTCCAAAAAATGCCATCTGACTCATCATGCACAGGCAAAGATGGACTCCTGAGCTCATAGCCATTATTGTAATCATTTCCAGAGAGGTAGCCTTGTTAGTCAGCGGCAGCAAAAACAAACAGTCTTGTGGCACCTGAAAAACTAACACATTTATTATGGCATGAACTTTCATGGGCCACAGTTCACTGACTCAGATGGATGAAGCACTGTCCAGAGTTGCAGGTAAATATAGAAATGCTTTGGCGGTTGCAGATGTCCGTGCCATCTACAAGTGGTAATAATGTAATCACTGCCTGTACTTATCTGCATTTCCTTTCCATTCAATCCCTCCATTTACATCTGCCACAAATATGTACAGTGGTACCTCGGGTTACATACGCTTCAGGTTACAGACTCCGCTAACCCAGAAATAGTACCTTGGGTTAAGAACTTTGCTTCTGGATGAGAACAGAAATCGTGCAGCAGCAGTGCGGTGGCAGTGGGAGGCCCCATTAGCTAAAGTGGAGCTTCAGGTTAAGAACAGTTTCAGGTTAAGAACGGACCTCCAGAACTAATTAAGTTCTTAACCCGAGGTACCACTGTATCTCCCAACTCAAGTTAACACCACGAAGTGCTGAAATGGACTGTAGTCAGCAGAAAGGTGATGTAACTCTATTCTAAAGGCTTGTTTTCCCTCAATCAGACTTAGGCCAGTTCAGCCAGAGGTAGCCCCACTGCTGAACAGAGTGTGGATCTGGCACACTTTGCACCAGTTTTGCTTAACTCAGCATAACTTACACTTTTCATTCTTCCGATTGTTCCCTAAGAGGTCTTTAATCGAGTTGCTGGCATCGATCTGTCTCAAGAGACAATGGAGTGCACCTCCGGGGGTGAAGTCTAACCGCTGGAGAATCACAGCGCCTGCTGTGGCTGCAGTGACCGGTAACTTGTAACTGCTGCCTCCCAGCTTGCTTTTGCTGTGTCAGCAGCACCAAAGTGACCTCCCTGGGGCGCAAGGCTGGGCAGTGGGTATGGAGGTCCTGGGCTGCCCAGATGACAAGACCCTCCCCTCTCGGCCTTTGGCACCAGCTTGGCTACAGAAGTTGACAGAAGGAGGCGTACAAGGTGCCATTCAACCGCCTTAGGGACTCCACTCTGAATTTGTGTAGGGTTTACTCCTTAGTCTGCCTATTATAAGGCACAGGCTTAATTTGACTTGTAGTTGTGCTGCACTTTCCCATGCAAGCATTCCAACAGATTTTCATGCAAGCATTCCAATACCTTTTGCCATTCAAAAATGTCACTGGTGCACAAGCAGAGCAAAGGGCATGGGCTAAAGAGCCCGCGAAGGGGAGAGAGGACAGGAAAAGGATGCATAAGGCAATGTGGAAAAGATAATAAAAGAAAATGCAGGAACTTACATATTCATCATCACAGGGGCTCATACAGCAATATCCCTTTAGGGGTAAACAGGCACACATTAAAATAAAAGAGACGAAGAAAAAGAAGAGGAAAAGTTAACAGAAATCACACAGAGATGATCAGCAGTTTAAAGAAAAATACAACACATGAAAATAACAATAAAATTAAAGTTTGTTAAGGAGTAAGAGAAAACAGATTTTGGAAAGGGACAGGCACCTGAGCTTTGACCATCTTAAAACCTGTGCTATTTCCACCAATATTCTTGTGTGTATCCACAAAAGACCAGGGAAGGTCTGGAAAAGAGGGTGTAACAGACGACTTAAATTCATAGCTGTCAACGTTTCCGCTTTTTTAAAGGGAAATTCCCTTATTCCAAATAGGATTCCTCGCAAGAAAAGGGAAAAGTTGACAGCTATGCTTAAATGCCAAACTGAAATTGGTAGTGGGAAAGATAGAGAGAAAGATATATCCGTGAGTTACCCACTATTCAAGGCCGGCCCATCCATTAGCCTTGGTAAGGCAGTAGCCTCAGGCAGCAGGCTGTGGACAGCTGGGAGGGATAACAGTTCCAGGCCCCTCAGGATTGGGCTGCTCGCTGTCTCCTGCACTTGCCTTCATCATGCCAGGCTTCCCCAGACAACCTCCAGTCACCTCAGGAGGATGGGGAGGCAGGGAGGGCGCCATTTTCTGTTCCGCCTCAAGCGGCAAAATGTCTTGGGCCAACTCTGTCACTACTTATCTTGATTTGAAGCAAGATGCTGCAACCAAGGGAGCTATTGAAACAGACCTTACGCTTGCAAACAGCCTGACCTCACTCAAACTGCCGAGTGAAAAACTGGGAAAGGATCTGCCTCTTGCCAGCCAGTGAGCAAATGTCCTGTGGCCCCTCCAGTTAACAAGGAAAGTTCCTGGTTCCTGGAGGCTTCCTTTGGCAGGCAGGCAGTTCAATGCTACTCTTAGTTTAAAACAAGTTAGGCTGTACTCCTATCTCCACTCACTGAGATGCAAGACCCATTGAACTCAATGCAACTGTCTTCTCAGTTTCATTCCCCCCTCCTTGAAATAATATCTTCATACCTTCACGTTGTTTCATAAATGCCAAGGGAGAATATCAACCTGCTCTAGAAATCCGCAAATAATAATCCTACTGTTTATGTTTTAGGTAGGCTCGGGCCTATGAATGCATTTATAAAAGATTTGATTATTGCTATTTAAAAAACAAACAAACATGTCTTAAGATGACATGGTTTGATTAGAATTAAAAGGTCTTTGCAAGTGCACCACAATAAAGGATTAAACGCCCAAAATGTGGGATGCCCCATGGGCTTAGTCAGTCATGAAAGCAAAAAAGCAGAAACCAAAACAGTATCTGAGAGGCTGCAGCAAGAGGGTATTTCTGTTAAAGGAATTGTCACTGATTTTATGGCACTTCCTTCTCATCCTTCGTGCAAGGAGAAGATCATGGGAAAGTCCAAGAAGGATCCTGGAAATGGCCACATCCAGGCCTGCTTAGTTCCAGAGACGGCACCACAGCAAATCTGTGCACAATCTGCGCTAAAATATATATTAGAGCTCTGCACCAGGCAATGCAAATTCTTCACCAAAACCACTGAATTCTACAACCAGTAAAAATCATGCAAAGTGAACATGAATTCCCTTATTTCTAAAAAACGAATCTTCCTGAACAGCTCATTCTGGCTGTGATCATGATAGGGAGGGACAAGGAACTGCGCAGAGCACCCTGCCCACTGGACATCTTGGACAACCACCTCCAGCTTCTGAGCAGCCCTGCGCCACCAAGGCAAATGCAGCTGTGCATTATGGTACGTTGGGAACTTGACAGAGGAGTACTTCTCAAGGAGATGACAAGAATGGGAGATCTACTAGCCAGGCTATGCTCTGCCTCCACAGTCCAAGACAGTAATGCGTCTGAACGCCAGCTGCTGGAAACCAGAGCTCTTGTGCTCTTGTGCTTAAATCCTGCTTGCAAGTTTCCCACAAGAGGCATCTGCTCAGCCACTGTGAGAATAGGATGCTGGACTAGGTGGGCCACTGGCCACTGGCCTGATCCAGCAGGCTCTTCTTATGTTCTTATGAGAACCTGGTGGGCTGCTTTTTGCTTGCCAGGACAGACGTGAAAAGCTCCAGCAGAATGATGCAGTAGAATCCTGAGATCACTGAGTAGATTTGCCAGCCCCTAGTCTTCCCCCTTGTGAAAAACCTCCAAGCACGTAAAAATATAGCAGAACAGGGAGAAATTTCTAGCTCAACTCACTCCCTGCTGTGTTAAGTTTTCTACCTGGAGGCAGTTTTAAAAAATGGAACCTCACATCTGAAGCCACAAGTTTCCCCATTCATTCTATTATTGCTTTTTCATCTCATTCTGCCTCATAGGTAGACAAGGCTATATTGCTTTCTGAAAAGATGCAGTATGTACTGTGAGCAAGGCAAGCTGCTGTGTTTTGTCTAATGAAGAGTTCTGTGTAACTTGAAAATTTACACTCTCCTGCATCAATATATAAAAACTCAGAACTTTGCATTTGGGGTAGGGACGGGGAGAGACTGGAAGTTTCTAAAATACTAGGTGGTGGTTTCCATCTGCTTATTAAAATGTCTTATAAAAATGTCTCTGTGAAAAGTAAAAATAAGGGAGTTTCCTCATTAAATTGCAAAGCAAACTTACTGTTTGCCAAGTGGATGGCTACCACACAATTGGAATTCTAACCATTTGCAGTAAACAGAATGTACAAAAAAATAAACAACGCAAGGATGCGTCCGGCTCCTTTGAACAAAAGATTAAGAGGTTTATACAGTAATATGAGATCAACACGAGTTTCACCTGCAGACACCTTTAATTGCAAAAGCAACATATGACAGTATGAGTGTCACACCTTTTAAGCTCCCAAGCCCCAACAATCTCATTCACTTCACTGCCTCTGAACTTAGGAATGTCAAAGACTCATCCAGTGCAAGCATCTTTACATCACTGGCTGTCTTTGCTTTCATTGGGTGCCGCACCCTCTATAGCAGCAGCAGGAGGGGGGCGGGGGAGCTAAGATGCAGGGCTGAATGTGGCTTCTCTCTTTGACCCTCAGGATCAGGACTCCCTCTCGCCAGCGCCGGATTTAGGGCGGTGGAAGCGGTTCCCCCCGCCCCATGGCACCAAGCCGAGGGGGTGTAAAATAATATTATTATTGATAATAAAACCTATATTTATGCAGCAGGGGGCCCGCCCTGTGGAACGCCCTCCTGTCAGATGCCGAAGAGATAAAGAACTACACAACTTTCTGAAGACACCTGAAAGGAGCCCTGTATAAGGAAGTTTCTAATGTTTGGTGTTTTTGCTGTACCTATGGGACCGCCTCTCCCGGTATGCCCCGCGGAGGACCTTAAGGTCCATAAATAGCAACACCCTAGAGGTCCCAGGCCCTAAGGAAGTCAGATTAGCCTCAACCAGAGCCAGGGCCTTTTCAACACTGGCCCCAGCCTGGTGGACGCTCTGTCTCCTGAGACCATTGCCCTGCAGGATCTGATTTCTTTCCGCAGGGCCTGTAAGACAGAGTTGTTCTGTATGGCATTTGGCTTGGAATCAACTTGATCCCCTCCTCCTCTTTCCTTTTTCCTTCTGTGATGGAACTCCTATTTGGGGACTTCCCTGGCTTTTTCTGGCCCACACAGGACCAGTCTGAATAGTTGTCCTTGGTGAAGATTTGACGTTTTCATCCCCAAAAAGTTTCTGATTTGAGCTTCTATTGAAATGAGGCTGCATTTTAATGTTGTATTTTAATCTTGTTTTTAAGTTGTATCTTAATCAATTGTTTTATATCTGGTGTTAGCCGCCCTGAGCCCGGTCTTGGCTGGGGAGGGTGGAGTATAAATAAAATTTATTATTATTTATTATTATTATTTTATTATGCTGGAAGCTGCCCAGAGTGTTTGGGACAACCCAGTCAGGAGGGCAGCGTATTATTATTATTATTATTATTATTATTATTATGGCAGCAGCAGCTGTGAGGCTGCAAAAGGTGCAACCCTCAACCAACCTTTTGCTTGTCTTGTACTTTGGGCAGCAGCTGATCTCCTCATTCTCTTAGGATGCTGCCCTGAAGCAGCTCACTTCAGACTGCTTTGCCCTCTGGCCCCAGATCCCGCTGACATGTGGCACCCAAAAGGAGGATGAAGCATCCCAGCAGAAGCATCTGAGCAGCAGCTGGAGAAAGCATTGGACAGAGGACAGAAGCTGTGAGATACAGCTGGGTGCAATCAGTGTTTAAGTGGTACTGGAAACCCCTGGAAAATATGAGGCTATCCAGGGACAAAGTCTATATAGAGTGGGGGAGAGAGCGGGGGGGACTTGTGGCTCTCCAAATTATGTGGGCTCCAACTCCCTTCATTCCTGATCACTGGTAGTCCTGGCTGGAGCCGATGGGAGCTGAGAATCTCTGAAAAGCCAAAGGTTTTCCTCCCCTGATATTCAGAGGATAGGAGAGGGCCACACACAGAGCTCAATGGAGACAGGGAAAGCAACGGAAGAGAGTGTCCCCTCTTCTTCTTTCTTGATCACTCGTAGTCAAGTAAGATTGTCTTCCAAAAACACGGTTTTAACAATGAGTCCGTAAGTGACTGTGGAGGCCAATTCTGGATCCACATGTCCTTCCGCAGTGGGGACATTGGATTCCGGGCAGGAGTTGTCCCCCTACAGAGACCTTGAAAGAGCTATTATTCAGGCAGGTTGGAAGAGAATCGGCTGATGATGGAATCACGAGGCATAAAGGGAATCAAGTAGGAGAGAGAGAGATCAACTGTATCGGAGGCAGCAGAAAGGTCCCAGACAAGGAGGACTAAGGACAGGCCCATAGGTTTAGCAGTGAGAAGGTCGCTGGTGGCTTCCGTGAGAGCAGTTTCTTTGGAGTGCAAGGGGCAGAAGCCAGATTGTAAGGGGTCAAAACAGAGTTGGAGGAGATAAAAATGAAACAGCAGGAGTAAGCAGCATGCTCCATGAGCTTTGAGGAAAAGGACAGAAAGAAAATTGGGTGGCAGTTGGGGGAGGAAGGGAGGGTCAAGGGATTAGAACCAAGATTCTCAAGAAGTTTAAATCTGATCCCATTATGACAGTCTCCAGGTTTCCTGCACTTGCTGAGAATCACAAACTGCACACAGAACCCAGTCCATATTTCCACCAGATAGGGCCGGCTGGATTTGGAAGACCTGGTTCAAAGAGTCACAAACTCACTCAACAGATGGCCTTGCTAAAGCACTCACTTGCAACTTCAGTTTCCTGTCTGTAAAAATGAGAACAAATAGTGCCCTACCTCCCATTCATGTTTTATAAGCAAGCAAATTAAAAGCTTTAGAGCAGTGGCTCTCAAACTTCTTGCGCGTTGGACAACTTGAAAATTGCCAGGGGTCTTGGCAGACCACTTAATGATTTTTCTGCCTGTTGTTTAGCCACTGCAAAGCGCTTTGCTAAATATTAAATATTTTTCTTCAAAAAAAATTAGGAATTCTTTTTGAATACAATAATATACAATTAAAATACAGTGGTACCTCAGGTTACATAAGCTTCAGGTTACAGACTCCGCTAACACAGAAATAGTGCTTCAAGTTAAGAACTTTGCTTCAGGATGAGAACAGAAATCGTGCTCCAGCAGCGCGGCGGCAGCGGGAGGACCCATAGGCTAAAGTGATGCTTCAGGTTAAGAACAGTTTCAGGTTAAGTACGGACCTCCGGAACGAATTAAGTACTTAACCTGAGGTACCACTGTACAATTAAAAATCAATCTGAATATTTATAGGAACAGGCTGCTATCCTTTTTGTTTATTACTGGAGAACTCCCACTCGGAGTCACTCTCTTTCTCTTGCATTAGCTTGGCTCCTTCCCCATGCTCGGACTTTTCCACTCCTTTCCTATTTCGCCCCACTCAGGAGCTTCCCCAGATGTCATAAACTGGTTGAATACAGAAGTATGGTGGAGGAACCAGCTGGGAAACCACCAAAGAAAAGGCTCAGAGTCCGGGGTGTGGTGGTAGGACAACAATGAGTGGTCAGAGGGAGAAGTCTGAGAAGAAGAGGTGTCGGAAGGTGGAGAGGTAACAGGGCTCAGTGAGCAGGGGGAGTCTGTGTCAGAGAAAAGTCCAGAATCAGAGGCAGAAGCTGAAGCAGGAGAGGCCAAGAGGCAGAGATGAGTCAGTATGGTGAAGAGTCATGGGTGTCTCCGCCTGCTGCTGCGATAAGCTCCCCTCCTGCCTGGTCACCCAGAACCAGAAGAGGCATAAAAACGGCAGAGCAGCGGTTGACTGCATGCAAGTGCAATCTCTGACTGCTTGGAAAAAGCCCTGGTGAGGAGGCAGGGACTTTTAGTCCCAGCAACCAATTTTCATGGAGGAAGACCACCAGGAATGAGCTGCTCTGCTCATTCGGCCTGGCACTCAACCAAGTCTGTGAAGGTCATGTTTTTGCTCATAAAGAGTTAACTCCCTCTTTGAACGATGTGATTACTGGTCTATGTGATTGTGGCATTCTCCTACGACACCAGCCATGGCTTTGTTCCTCTGGGGAAGGCAGAGCACCCTCCCATCACAACTGGCCTGTCCTACCCACCAAGGTTCTAAGATCAACAGAGGGGCCACTGTGCCCACCATTCTCTACACACCTGAGCCCCCCATCTCCATGTAGCTACACCACTTTACAGAGCAGACCACTTTGGCTCATGGGCCACTGACAGTCTTTGGGAACTGTTGCTTTAGAGAGTGCTCCACACATGTAAAAGTGCTGCCGGTGCACCACATTCTGCTTTTTGAGAACTGGTAGGAACGACCTTCCTCTAGGCCATCAGCACATGACAAAACCGTCACAGACCTATGCACCGCTGGGGAAGTGTACTGGTTAGGTGGTACATCATTGTACAGCCACAGAGTCATGGTTTTACCTTTTAACAAAGACAAGCGCCAAAGGTTATACTCACAGTTCCAGGCCTTGTGAAGTCTATGCTATGCGCTACGCTCTGCCTCATCTGGTTGCTAAATAAACGAACACAAACGCTCTGCAGATCTTCTGGGGTGATCTACCAAAAAAAGGTAACGCATCACGTCAGTGGGAAATTACATTTTCTTTTGACCTCGGCTACTTATTTGCACAAGGAGGTGCCAAAACGGACCGAATGCCACCCTGCTCTTACAGGTGTGAGGGCCAAAAAACGGGGGAGGAGAGGCTAGGAGTGCTTGAGTCATGTCAGTAAAAGTACGGCAGAACAGCCATTCTGTGCTGTGCAAGATCCCTGCAAAGCCCCCTTTGTGCAAGCCCCACCTTGACCGCCCCCACACCAGACACCACCTATGTCATGCATGGGGCAGGGGGGTGTAGCTCAGACAAGATAGTCTGGCAGGCCAAATCAGGCCTGTGCGGGCCAAGGTTTCTCGTCCCTGCATTAAACAGCCTGGTCACAACTGCCACCCTCCAATTTCATTTGGCTGATTGCTCACATGGGTGGGCTGGAAAAAAGTCAATAGCAATACAGTCATACCTTGTTTTGCAGCCAGGATCCGTTCCGGAGCCCCGGCCACTAGCCAAAAAGGACGCAGGACAAAGCGACGCATCTGCACATGGAGCAGTTTGCGCTTCTGCGCATGCGGCAAACCCGGAAGTAACCTTTCCGGTACTTCCGGGTTTGCCGTGGACATTCGCCAGAATGGACGCTAGACGAGGCGGACGTTGACAGAGGTATTACTGTAAAGACCATGTAAAGCTTGAATGAGTTTTAACGTAAGACTCGAACCCTAAGTTGTACTTGGGTTCCACTGGAATCAATGGGGCAAGGTTTGCAGTGTGACCTAACTAAGTCTGGATCTAACCCATAATCACTCTGGACTCTAATACTGTACATTTTTGTTTGTTTGTTTAGGAAGGTTCACATCAATGGATGAGTTTTGCTTTATGCTCATTGAACAGTGATAATACCTGGGACCAGAAAAGATTTTTCTCCCTCACTTGACTGTCTTAGTAACCCCTTGGGATTTTGGAAGTGAGGAGGCAGCTCTTGTCCTCGAAAGTTGAGGTTTATATTCCTGTTGGCTCCTGCTCTTGTCAGTGGGATTCTGTGTGATGCAGATTCTATTTATTATTCGATTTATATAAACCACCCTGCATCAAAAGATAAAATTCTGTGGCTTCCTCACCTTGGGATGGGGGGGGGGGAGGAGGGGAGAAGGGCTGGGCTTCATTTAGCCTTTTCTCTCGCTGTGATTGTATCATTGTATGAAATAAGTGTATGAAATCCAAGATCATAAAATGCAAAGTCGGATGAGCTCACAGTTCATTTCCAAAACTCCTTTGAATGCAACGCTCAACTAAACAGCGCCACCACCTGGTAGAACTAGAATAAAACAGTAAACAGATTCGCAAAGAATGGGTGTCCAATTTTCTTGGAGCCCCTTGGGACAAGGCTTCTTAGCTTAGAAAAAGAGCAATTGAGAGGAACAAAAATTAGTTAGGGTGTGGAGAAAGTGTATAGGGAGAAGATTTTCTCCCTTTCTCTAGAGCTTTTGGTTATCCTGTTTAGGGAAGTTTTTAATATTTAATGCTGTATTGTTTTTAACACTCGATTGGGAGCCGTCCAGAGTGGCTGCGGAAACTCAGACAGATGGGAGGGGTATAAATAATAAATTATTATTATTATTATTATTATTATTATTATTATTAGCCACTGAAACTGAATGGTGGGAGATTCAGGACAGGCAAAAAGGAAGCACTGCATCTTACAGTGTATCGTTAAACTACAAAACCCTTCTTCGTAGAGAAGTTTTTCCTGCCCCGTGAACATTCTGGCTGCCTTTTTCTGAACATTTTTGAGCAAACCCATATGCAGTATTCCAAGCGCAGTAACAGCACAGATTTGTCACCACGATACTGGGAGTTTGATTTTCAATCCCGTTCCTAATGGTCCCTAAAATGGAATTTGCCTTTTTCACAGCTGCCACTCACTGGAATGACATCCTCATCTTGCTATTCACTGCAACCTCCATGGTCTCTTTCTTGGTCATTCACTGCCAGTTAAGGCCTCAACTGCATAAATTCCAATTTATGTAGCCATGAGACTTCACAGGCAAGAGCCTCCTTCATCAGACCCATCTGAATAAGAAGTATTTGGCAATATGCAAATGCGGTTTATCCCAACTGCCAAATGTGGATGCTCTCAAGTTCCCCCTTACCATTTTGCCACTGACTGTGGCCTCAAGGGAATCCACCAGCTCGGCTGTCACCCCAATGAGGTTGTGGTAGTCAGCTTGGATTTTGTTGAACCGCTTGAGGTAGGTCATGGTTTTGCGTTCAGACTCCACCAGCTGCTGATGTAGCTGCTGCAGCATCTCTGGGAAAGGGAAGAAAGGGAAATTACGAGCCTTTCCCCCTTACCAACCGCACTGACATACTGAGGAATGACACAGTCCTGTTTCCTTCATAGCAAAACACACACACACAATGCCTTGCACATGGTGTTGCTCATGAATTCTAAGTAACAAAAAAGTGCAGTTTTGAAATCTGTGATTAAAATAAGTGCTGTTTTGAATGGTTCAGTGTGCCACCTCTGCATTTTAAATTGCATTTTAACCTGTATTTTAAATTGGTTCCCCCCCCCCATTATGTTTTTACTGTAATTTTACTGGTGTTAGCCGCCCTGAGCCCGACTCTGGCCGGGAAGGGCAGGGGTATAAATAAAATGTATTATTATTATTATTATTATCATCATCATCTCGATCCAAAATGGTGCCTATTTGTAGCCAAGCACAGCCAGAGACTTGCTCCTCGATCTCATCAACCATCATGCAAAATTTGGTCACAGTATCTGAAGAAGAGTCCAAATGCATAGTGAACAAACTATATATAACATCTACATGGACACACGGAGTATGCTGTTGGCGCCTACTTTGGCTAACAATCCAACGTGGTGACAAAAGAGCAGGAGGGAGCACTTACTCAGTTTTGCAGCACCAAGTATAATTGTCAGACAATATCCTCACCGTCATAAGACATAGACCAGGAGAGGGAGAACGTCCTCTGTCACCTCTAGATTACATCACTACCCTAACACTGAAACAAAACATGGGAGAGCGGACAGAGAATATTTGCCTCTAAAACTAGACAATTTAACGGTCCTGCTAGAACATTCTGTCTCAGCAACTATTGCTCAGGATAGTTAAGGTGGCACTTGTAAACAGAGCTGAGTATTTACTGGGGAACATTCAAATGAGAAAGAAAATCACAGAAATCAACTTTACAACAAAGCATTAAAACAGAACCGGTGTTTTCATTTCCCAGATGGAATCACTTCATGAGGAAATACTTGAAAACTCCTCTGCTAGGATATAAAACAGCTTTTAGAAGGTGCATTTGAAGCCGTGTATATTCTCAAGAATCACCATCCCAGTACCAAAAAGTGACGCGTGTTTGCCTCTTCCAACAAACACCCAGCAGTTCTAACCTTTATTGGGGGGGGGGGGCAATGGGGAGAGAAGCATTGCAACCTACTTTAGGATCCATACAGACATACACAACTTGATTGATGGAAGCACTCACTGTTCCTTACCAAATGGACAATCCTCTCCACGGTTCTGCTATTTGAGCTCAGAAGTCAGCATTGTACAGCACAGCACAGATGTCTGGCAACTGCACCATCACAAATCCACTCACATCCCTACCCTCTAGGATGCTTGCACTTTTCTTCTATTTTTACTAAATTTGTTAAGCTATTTTATCTTGCCCAAAGAAACTCAAAGCAACTTACAACCAGCCCAAAAAACAGAGATACATGAAAACCAAGTAGGGGAACGGAAACATCCCACCCACTTCTAAAAGGCCCCAGATAGTTAAGCATCGAAGGGCCTGGTTGCAAAGAAAAGTTTTTGACTGGTGCCTTAAGAAATTTAATGATGGCACCTGGCAAACCTCCCTGGGGAGAGCATTCCACAAACAGGGAGCCAACACTGAAAAGGCCCGTTCTCATGTCGCCACCCTCCAGACCTCTTGCGGAGGTCGCACACAAACAAGGGTCCCAGAGGATGACTGCAGGGTCTGCATTGGTTTATATGGGGAGAGATGGTCCCTGAGGAAGGTCTTGAGCTGCATTTCACTTATTTGTTGTTGTTTAGTCGTTAGGTTGTGACTGACTCTTTGTGACCCCTGGACCAGAGCACGCCAGGCACTTCTGTCTTCCACTGCCTCCCGTAGTTTGGTCAAACTCATGCTGGTAGCTTCGAGAACACTGTCCCACCATCTCGTTCTCTGTCGTCCCCTTCTCCTTGTGCCCTCCATCTTTCCCAACTTCAGGGTCTTTTCCAGGGAGGCTTCTCTTCTCATGAGGTGGCCAAAGTCTTGGAGCCTCAGCTTCAGGATCTGTCCTTCCAGTGAGCACTCAGGGCTGATTTCCTTCAGAACGGAGAGGTTTGATCTTCTTGCAGTCCATGGGACTCTCAAGAGTCTCCTCCAGCACCAGAATTCAAAAGCATGACTTATATATGGCACCAATTGAGCTTTTAATTTCAAGAATATACAAGAAGTGCCTTAAACATTTCTCCCCAATGTCAGACCACTACATCACACTTGCATTTCTTCCCAGAAAATGTACAGAGCCCCTTGCTTAGAGGAAGCTCACTGACCACTTACAAAACCACTGTGACCAGTCTGAATCTCAACCTCCACCTTCCCCACCAATACTGAACCTGAAACTTTCTCAGCTGTTCAAATTGCTGCAAAAAGAGGCAAGCAAAAATGAAATCATTACAGTACTAGGCTGGTTTTCAATCTTGCTTCTGTTGACAATGATAAGATAGCACTGGAGAGCTCCTAAAGCTCCAAATCTATTGAAGAAACTCTAAAGTCAGGTCAAAAACAGCTTTCCACTCCCAGCTCTGCTGTTTTAGTTTCATCAGCTTCAGCAGACCAGAAAAATTAAGAGGATTTCCAAGGACATTTCAGTCAAATTTTCCCCCCAGTTGAAAAGCATTTCGTTTTGATTTTGTTCCGACAACAAAATGAACCATGCAACCGCAGCCATCAATTGCCTACCAGGTATTTTGTCCTACACAACTGAGAAACTTGATTTTTCCAGGCTCCCCTAGTCTTGGCAAAGCTCGGAAGAACCTACTGCTTTCTAAACCAGATTTCTTTTGTGTCTCCGGCTTTTATAACTATTGACAAAAACTAAAATGTGATTGTAACAATAGATTGGATGGGAAGGGACATTTTCCGTGGAAAGAGTCACACTATATAGTAGTTATCAAAGAATTAAAAATTACATATACACTTCAATAATTAAATGCGCTTCTGAACATGTTTAAAGGCTTAGTTGGGGCAGCTCCAGACATTAATAAATATTAATGGAAGGATTTCCCTGCTGCATTAGATTAGGAGTCCACCATTTAGTCCAGTGTTGTGTTTGACTGCTTATATATAGTATTTTTATTTTGCTCATCAGCCAAATTTTGTTCTGAGGCTTATTAATGTAAAAGGTGCAACGCAAAAGAAAAATGGATTGGGAGGGAGGAGGAAAAAGCAAACTCACCCACCAATTCCCAGTTGCATTGTTTTTGTAAGTGCTCTTTTTGGAAGCTCAATAGGAGGGAATGCATTATTTGCTGGGTGGTGGGGTTCTGCAGGCAGGCAGGCAGGGCTCTGCTGTGTGGAGCAGATCTGGGCAAGGCGCAGGGTGTGCAAATGGGGGAGGGGGTCCATTGCCCAAGTGTACATTCTTGTGCTGATGGAACACTTTAACTGGATACCGCCCAAACATTTTAGCCTCATGTGTAAAAATGCTCAGAGCCTAAATATAATCACCATTTTAATGCCATATGACAAGCATTCTGATTCCAAAAGAGAATATACATGTCATCTCCAGAAAGCCTGCTTATTTACCTTGGCTGCACTGTGCGTTCTCCTTCTGCCGTGGGAGAGAATGAGAGCTAAGGAAAAGAAGCGCTCAGTGAACAGTGAGAGAAAATGGACTGGTGCCTCGTTGATCTCGTAGCACTTTTTAAGGACAAAAACCCCTGTAAATCCTACAGATGGAGAACCAAGACTCAGCAAGACTACGGTTAGTTCAAAGCCCTGCGAGAATGCTGGTCCACGCCAGCTCCTTCACACATTTTCTACATGTGGTGTTAAGTGAAAGGTGATGCACTATAGCTCAACTCAGTTTCAAATTATCTGTCTCCCCAGACTCTCTTGTCGTTCTTATTCTTTTGTAAGCGTCTGATGTCTGCTTCTGGAAAACTTGCAGGGAATAAGAGGTGGATGTTGTCGACCCAAGCAAGTTTAATGGACCTTTGCATGAAGTCAAACTTTGCCAACCTGCTGCTCTCCAGATGTTTTAGTCTGGTCAGCAATGGTCATGCTGGCCAGGGTTGACAAGAGCTGTAGTCCAAAACATCTGGAGGGCACCACGTTGGTGAAGGCAAGTCACCAGAGTTCCAGGAAGAGGAAGGCCTTCTCACCACCTGCCCCTGGGTCCTTGTAATGACAGATGCCAGGGACTGAAAGTGGAATCCACTACTGCATGCAAAGTGTAAGCTACAATATCTCCACCTGACAGTATTGGCTAATGGGCCCCCATGAATGAAATGAAATTAAGACAAATCAGACAAACGAAGCATGAAGGGTACAAGCTTTCGCAACTGAGGTAAGACACAGCTGGAAGACATGCTAGAAATTTGCTTTTAAGCGTGAGAAATAACAACTCAGACAAATGCAAGGAGCCTTACAGTGTGCCAGGCCACTGACTGGTTCACTTAGCATGGCAGACTCTGCTCTGACTGGCAGCTGTTCTCCCTGCTCTCAGTCAGCCCTGCCACTAGAGACCTTCTTCCGATGGGGATCCAAATTGGGACCTTCCGGGTTCAGCTATACAAGATCTAGGTTTCAAAAAGAAGTGATCGAAGGGAAAGTGAAACTATTGAAGGCCGCATACAGCATACTGCTAGAATGGGAGACGAAAGATGAAGAGGTAAGATCAGTCATGATCAAATGGGGACAAGATATAGGTCATAACATTATGGTGGAAGATTGGGAAAGGTTATGGAAATTTGATTTTAAATATGAAAATGATATATAGATGGTATATAGATGGTATATGACACCAGTGCAGTTAGGAAAAATGAAAACCAGTTCAAATTTATGTTGGAAGTGTAAGAAAAAGGAGAGGACATTTTACCATATGTGGTGGGATTGTAATGAAATTAAGAAATTTTGGGAAATTATATACAATGAATTGAAGAAAATGTTCCATGTAGCATTTGTTAAAAAACCTGAAGCATTTTTGTTAGGAACTGTAGGGAAAGATGAAAAACATCTTCATGTATGCGACAACAACGGCGAGAGTCTTAATAGCACAAGGATGGAAGACTGAGGAAATCCCGACTAAAGAATTATGGCAAGAGAAACTGATGGACTATGCAGAACTGGCAAAATTGACACATAAACTACGGGACAAGGATAACTGTGACTTTAAAGAGGAATGGGAACCTTTTACAAAGTACCTAAAGACGCAACAAAGTGAACTGGACTCCTTGGCAGGCTTTGAATAAACGCTCACAATTTTTTTTATTGATAATAATTAGTTAGATAAATTAAGGACTTATACAATTCTGTAACATGCAGAGAATAGTACTTATAGAGAAACCAGAGATTGGAACTGAGGGAAGTTGTGGGGGCGGGGCGGGCGGGTTGTTTATGGGAGGGAGGGGAGAGGGGGAAAATTAAGGATGATATGTTTTAATATGTTTTGTTGAAGTACCTAATAAAAAAATTAAAACAAATAACAAATTGGGACCTTCCATACGGTTCATTGCTGAGTGACAACCTCTCCCTAAGGATGCAGCAAACTTTGCATAATAAAATGAGGAATGCATTGGGATCCTTGGTTCTTCCTAGGTATGTAAACAAGCCTGAAGGCTTGGGAACTGTCTCATAAAATTCCACCAGACAATGGCTGGGATCTGAGCAGCCAACAGAAGGTTCATGCAGGGACACTTGTCTCAGGCAAAAGCCACTTGATTCTAAATCATGGCAACCCACTATAAACAAACATATAAGTACGTGCCAAACATTTAGAAGTATATACCTTAACTGCATGTTTCTCTTTGGAGGATGAAAGAGAGGGAAGACATACACCAGTGCAGTCCCAGAGGCTTTTAATTCAGCTCTGCCAGTTTAAGCAGTCATTGAGGTTGGAACTACGTAAGCTACCTCAGCATCGTATCTTTGAAAGGCCACCTGCCAGTCCTCTTGTGCAGATCGGGGACAAATAGGCACAATTTATAGCAGAGAGGTTTTTGGTGGGCAGAGGATGGTCAACTTTTTCTTTACAAAAAGGAGGCCTTCTCAGTGGTGGCCCCATGGTTATGGAATCCCTTCCAAATAAACTATGCTTGACTCTAAACCAGGGATGGAGAACCTCCAGTCTGTGAGCCAGATTTGGACTGCGTGGCCATTTCAGTCAAGCCACGCTCACCTGCCCTACACCAGACATCATATTTCAGCTTGGCCAAAAGGGGTTTTGCAGGCACTGCTGACTGCGAGTACCTGCAAAGCACCTTGCACAACGCCTCCCAAGCACTTGGCAGCCAGCTGATTGTCAGGTATGTCAGGTGCTCCGTGCAGGGCGCTTTGCAAATGCTGTGCTCAGTACTTCCCAAGAGCCTGACAACCAGCTGGTGCTTAGGTGTTTGGGAAGCACTGTGCAAAGCTTTTACAAATCTCAGCTGTCTTACATCATTATGGCATCAGATGATTGACCAGTAAGTGGTCCTGCACACCTGCCAACACTGGTCCACAGGAGGAGATAAAATATCTGGCCCACTGGGCCAAAAGGTTTCCCCACCCCTTGTGTAAGTTGCCCTCAGGTGTTTCATAAAGCATTCAAGGTATAGATGAGGCCCAGATTCTGAAAAGCTTATGCAATGATTAATCAATACAAATATATCTAATTAATCATCTAAAAATACACCAGATTGCAGCCTACTTGAAAGCAGTATAATGCTGATCCCAGCAGAACTTTTCCCCAAGTAAATATACACAGGCTACAGAGTATCATTAACTGGCTGACAGCTCCACTAATTTCACTGCTCCCCTGAAAGGGATTAAATTGCAGTGAATTATCTTTAGAGCATTTTGCAAAGGATACATAGAGAGTCAGAAGTCTTGGGGTATTGCTGGCTTTTAGAGATGCAGACAGGAATTCTTCCAACCTCATTTTTAGATCAGACTCCCAAGAATCCTAGAAAAGCAACACACAAAGCAGAACTGTTTATCAAATATGTACAGCAATTTTCTACAACACATACCAGCGTTTTGCAAGCCAAAAAGCGAGGAATATGTCACTTAAAACATGGCTCCTGGTGAAATGCAAAGAATAGCAGACAATTTGGGGTAGTTTTATGTAGAAGAGGCCATGGTAGTTTTATTAAGAGGATTGCAAACGTGGATGGGCCACTTAAGCTACAGTAGGGCAATTCTGTAGGAGCAGAAACCACCATGAAGTTCTCTTTTGCAAACTTTGTTGAAATGATAAGAGCTGCACAGAAGCCCTTGCACAGGAAAACCTTGTTGACATTTGTGTATACTGAAATCTAAGTGGATTGTGTCCTAATGAGTCACAGTCTTTAAAGGTCTTAGTAACAGCTAACTTGGATAGGGTACTGTGGTCTCTGTGAGGCTGCCCTTGAAAAATACTTGGAAACTGGTCCAAAACAGATCCATCAGAGTTTGAATTGGGAAAAAGCATATTGAACATATTCCTTCAATATTAAACCATCTGATCTGGTTATCAATTTGTTCGCAAGTCCAAAAAGTGCTAATTTTAACCTGTCAGACCCTAAACAGTCTGGAATCAGGAGATGGACTCCTATGTACCTAGCCAGCTATTCAGATCAATAATTTTAAGTTCTTGTCCATGTTCCTAAGCCTAGAAAACACGAGACAGAGAAGTTTCCCCCTTGCCCCGCTCCTTTCCCAGGGAAAACCCACTCTTTAGTGCTAAACTGGAGCAAACATCCATCTGAAGAAAACCCAAATTGCTGTTTGCTCTGACTGAGCGCTGAAGAGCAGTTTTCCCTGGGGGAAAGCAGTGGGACAAAAGGAAGTGTGAGTCCTGAGACGCAACAGTAGAGCATGTGGGAGAAGGCCTTTCTGGCCACAACGCCAGATGCTGAATGGCCTCCAGAGAGAGCTCCTTCACATCCAGTCACAGCTGGCCTTCTGACATACTGACAAGAAGAGGTGGCCATTTTTGCAGCAGACTCAGCAAGCGGATTTTAAAGGCAATGAACAGCTTGCACCCTGGCTGTTTTTCTCTCTTCTTTGGCAACTCTTTTAACATATTTTGATCCGTCAGGCACCTGGGGTTCTTCAACAATTTTGGGGATTCCACAATTTTAAAGCATTGCTGAGCTAAAAATTAATACTGCATTCCCCACTCCTGACAAAGAAGCCATCATTCACCATTCCTTGTGATTTGGAATGTAAGATTAGACCAAAGGCCTCCCTAGTCCAGCATAATGTTTCTTACAGCTTCCTCGCAGGGACTGGTGGCCGCTTCTACACTGTGGAATTCCCTGCCTGCTTACGTTTGGTAGACACCTTCGCTGGAATCCTTTCGTTGCCTGCTAAATACCTTTCTGTTTAGGCAAGCATACCTAACATGTAAAGGTGACATGTATTTTAATCTATAATGTTCACTTAGAATATATATATTTGAATATTGATTTTACTAATTTTGTTTTATAATCTCATTTTTAAGAATTTTAAAGATTTTTCATGACCATTTTTTAATCATTTATTTTTTCACCTATCTATACTGAAGTGCAGCAACCAACCTTCAACAGTCCCATCTACCCGTAGCAGCAGATGTTATTGTTAATTTGTATATTTTGTATTCTTTGAAAACCCTTAAAGCATTTTGGGCTTTTTTGCAGTTAAGCAGTATAGAATTTCTGTTAAATGAGTAAGATAAACAAATATCCCAAATCCTATTGCTGCTGATCCTGAGGGCAGGATTCAGCCCCCATGACTAGCAGCCACTCAGTACATACCTGGAAAAGTTCTTTGAAAGATGGGTGGATCATAGGGTTGGGAACAAACGGTAGGGCATAGAATGGAAGGAACTCTGTAGTTTGGCTCAGTGCTGCCCCTTTGGTCTCCAAATAGGTTTTAAAACGTGCAACCCTTTCATCCAAAGCTGATTTGTTCTAAAAAAACAACGAAGAAACACAAGTCAGCAACCTGGAAAGCAGCATGACGGAACTCGTGGTGGGCATCTTGGTTTTATATATCAGTTGGTGCAGAGGCCTCCAAACTTATTTTATCCTCAAACGCCACACCAGATGCTTGGGTTCTATGCGAGTCACTCTTTCCCATAAGCGATGTGCATGGAACCAGGACGGCAGAAATGGAGGAAGCAGATTGCACTACTAAAGCACAGGGGCTGCCTAGCCACCAATCAGGAAGTCCACCATTCCAATCTTTCTCATCTACCACAAATTCACTAGGTGGACTTAATTAGTCTCCCTCTCTTAGCCTCAGTCCCCTCAACTACAAATGCAGTGTTAATCAAAAATTCTGGGTTGTTGGAAGCATTACTAAGATAATATACGTGAAGTACTTTTCAACAAACCTAAAAGACTATGTAAATCCTAAGCATTATTAAACACAACTACTGTGTTTTCTTCTGCAACTTGCATCTCGCCTATTATCAAGTTTCTAATCTCTTCACGTTTTTCTGGTTTCAGAAACGGCACAGCAGTCTTCCAGCGAAACCAACAATGGGATTTTTTTTAGTATTATTTCAGATCTACTGGGAGCAGTAGAGATGCAGTAAGTATTTTGTTCTCCAGCTTTTTTGACAAAATATCTTTAAATACCTGCAATTTTGAGTAGCCAGAAACACAATAACACCTGTCCAGCAGTTTAAATTGAGCAGGGACCCAAACAAAGAGAAAGCAAAGGATCACACAGCAAGACTCTCTATTTCTAGAAGACATCAATTCTCACCTATTAAATACTGCAGGCAGCCTGCAGGTGATCTTATTGAGCCATCCAAACTGACCCTTCAGAACCACTGGGATATTTTGGTGCTTTATTGCCAAAACAGACTGCCCTAATTTTTTTACCTGTGTGCTACACAAGTACTATTAAGCTTATATTGCTTCCTTTCAAACTAATCCTAAACAGTAGGTAAAAACTTTATCTGTCCATTGGTCACTGCTGAGCAAACAGTGACTCCTGTGGAGACACAGTTACCTAACCATCTTGCCATGCGGGAGGGCATGAAGGAGCAAGAATTTGGGAATGCAACTCACCCAAAAGTACTTTACACTTGCATAACAGGCGACAGGACTCGGTGAAATCCTTTGCATGCTGTGTTCAGTGCGGCTTATTCCCTAGTGTGTTTAAGAGTGCATCGTAAGGTTTGTTAGGTAAAGGTAAAGGAACCCCTGACCATTAGGTCCAGTCGTGACCAACTCTGGGGTTGTGGCGCTCATCTCGCTTTATTGGCCGAGGGAGCCGGCATACAGCTTCCGGGTCATGTGGCCAGCATGACTAAGCTGCTTCTGGCGAACCAGAGCAGCGCACGGAAATGCCGTTTACCTTCCCGCCGGAGCGGTACCTATTTATCTACTTGCACTTTGTGCTTTCGAACTGCTAGGTTGGCAGGATTTGTTTGTTACTCACATGGTAAACCCATGGTTTCGAGGATCAGGAATGGGCACCATGGAGACTAAGGTCTATGCACTCGCTTCTCTCCTTATCCACAAACCAGGATGCCCCACCAGGATCAAACCATAGTCTGGGAAATCTGTTGGCTAACTATGATTTGTTGGTAGGCAGAAGCAGAAGCTTCTAATCTCCTCCTCTCCTATACACAAGAAGGGGAGGAGTAATCCCATAAGCCTGTGGCTAGCAGCCATTCATCCCTGAATGAAGTCTAGATCTAGACTGAACCATTATGAACTGCAGGTGAGAGCTCCCAACTGAATGATCCTAAAAATAAAAAAATCCCTCTACAAAGAAAGCCAAGCTGTCAGGGTTAGCTAGAACCCTTCTCTTTGACATCTAATTTTCTCTATAGAGGGGTTTTTAATTTTATTGTTTGTATAGAGGAGCACATAGTCAGAAGATCTAGCTTGGACACTTTGACCATCTTAGTGAGAACTAGGCGAAAGCCACAAGCCTAACTGAAACTGGAAAAGGGGTGAAAGCAATGGGTTATTTATCTCAGCTGTTGACTGAATCACCGCCTTCTCCACTCACTTAAGAAAAATAAGAGTAAAAATCTACAAGGACAAATTTATTTAACAAAGAAACATACAGGTTTTCCTACACTGTGCTTTAACAGATAGATGGCAAAATAGATGTGAAGATAGAACTCTAGCTTCTGAGCAACAGCTTCATTGTCTCGGATTGAGGAGGGAATATTTTCTTCCCACAGTTCAAAGAAAACATCCTGGTCTCCATCAGTGAAGGACGTTAGTAGATCCTTCCAAAGAGAAGAAGAAAAGAGAGAAGTTACATATTTAATATCTCACTTCCTACGTGATGTTAAAGATGAAATCACTTCTACTGAAACTGTTCAGATCCAGAAAATCCCCTTCCGAGATTCTTCATGGACCAATCTGCTCAACAGCGTAAAGGCTGATCAAGAGCACCTAAGTCAGGGCAACATTTCTGTGCCAAATCCAAATAGTACAGGTAGCACAATGTGGTACAGGCACTTAAGAAACCCCTGGGCAAAGCAGAGCTGACCTCACTGCTCTCCACCTGATGGGCACAGAGTTCAATTCTGCTTGGTTCAGGTGTGCCAACCCCTTCCCTGAGCTCATCTTGCTGGGTATCTCCCCCACCCAACCCAGAAAGGCCAACCTTGACAGGTGGGCGGGATCCTCCCACCTGTCAACCACCTAACAAAAATGTTCCTCACCCCTACAGTACATGCTCACGATTACTATTACTACTATTATTAATTAATTAATTAAATCTGTAAACCACCTGAAGGGCAGTTCACTACTTGGCAGAACTAAGGAGTAGGCTTTAAGTGATGAGCAAGGACATCCCAAATGGGAATCCCTTCCAGCATGGACAGGGGAAAGCAGATTTGAACCAAGGGATCACCAATGTGGTGAAGTGTGGACTACCACAGACAAACCTGAGCAGAAAAAAAACTTGGATTTCAACTGCAATAGGGCTCCCATATAGATGAAGCATTAATTTCCCAAAAAAGAGAAATGTTACCTGAATTATCAGAGCCTTGGAGTCCTTCACTGAACTACCCCCAGTTTTAGGTAATGGTTTCCCTTTTATTTTGCATTCCTTTGTAAATGTTTTCACTGTATCTTCAAATTCTGCAAACTCCAAATACTGCAAACAAGAAGTTAGAAGAAAATCTGCAATAATTCTCATTAAAAGACAAGCAACAATGGATTAAGGCAACAGAACAGAAACCTGTTTGGATGCCTGACCTTTGATAGGTAGAAAACTGGAGAAAGCCATAGCAATACACATGACTGGGCACTAGAAAAACATGACCTCCATATCAACCTATACATTTTCAGACTTATTGTACGTGCACACAAATTCTATGGATAAGATAAGCTCAGAGCATGATGTCTATACAGACCAGTCTAATGATTCACTTCCAGTGACTGCATTGAGGTTTGTATATTGACCACTGAGGAAGATCCCTAGTGGGTTGAAATGTGTCTGGTTCTCAGTATTATTGCTGGTCATAAGAGCTTTGGTTTTCAGGATTACTGTTGGTTCTTTGAATTAGATGACTGCATTTCAGACTTCATTTATATGTTATAGGCCTCATATATGTTCCTATTTTGGGAACGATTAAAATACCATATTTATATATATTGCAGTAATCATCTGCATTCCCCACCACCACCCAATTTTCTGCCTTAAACCTACTTTTTGAGGTTCAGTTCTGTATTTTCTATTATTTGTATCTTGATTATCTTTTCAAGAGACGTTGTAGGACGATTTCGCATCAACAAAAATTGTGCTGATTTAATGTGAATTTTACTATCTAACGAGACCATTGATCCATAAAATGAAAGCAAAAACCAATGTACTGTACGTACTACAAAATAAATAAGACAGTATTGTAGATGATAAAAATTAAAATCACATTTTTTTCTTAAAAACAACAACAAAACGAAACAAAAATTGTGCTGTTTACTTTTTAAGGTTTGATGTTTTAATATGCTTTTGACTAGCAACCCAGCCAGGTGAGCAGGGTACAAATAATAAAATTATCATCATCATCATCTCAGCAATTCTGGACCAAACTGCACAAGTTCAGCAAATGTTAAACAAGCAGTCCCTTCGAAGAGAAACACACACCTCCTTCACCATTCCAAGTAGCTCCGCTTCGTAAGCGAGGACGTCTCCCATCATAAATGTCGGACGACTCTTGTAGTAGCGCAACCTGCAATTACAATGTGAAGGGCTATAAAAAACAGCACATAAGAAATAAAGCGTTGCTTTCCATCAAAATTAGCTTTTCCAAATCATAAAAAATGATCTCGTTTCAGAATCCAGCATCCCGCTGGCAGCTCCTGACAATTCTTTATTTTTATTTTTGTAAATCTAGTTATTTGGGTTTTTCAAATTAAAATTTTACAATAACGTATCTACATGTTAGAAACAAGATTCCACAGAATCTCCTGGACTTCCCTCCTCCCCTTTGTGGCTTCTATTGTTAGTCCTTTCCTCCTGCATCTTTTATAACAATCCAAATCTTTTGCATCTCCATTATGTCCACAATTTACCATTAAACTGCCAGTGTTATTCCGATCCCACTAACGATTTTAGCTTTTTACAATGGTTAAGATAGATTATACATTTCCCCATTCCTTATTAAAATCCTCCTGACAATGTCAACACGCTGCTCCGCGGCCGGGTTTCATAGAACCAGCTGCAGAGTTGGAAGGGACCCCGAGGGTCATCTAGTCCAACTCCCTGCAACGCTGGGATCTGTAGCCCAAGGGTGGAGCTCGAAAACCCACCACCTTTGCCTGTTGCAGGGGGTGCAAGCCGCTCCCAGGCTGCAGCTTCCAGAGGAGGTCCTCTACGACTTTCCAAGCTTGGCTGCAGCACCATTTCTGCACAGGCAGAAACCCAACAGGTGAGGCTCTGCTCCGCAGAGAGAGGCTATACCTCACCTGTTGAATTTCTTGCCCGTCGTGGAGCAGTCTTGAGGCGAGAGGAAGGGGGCGGGAAAGGTGCCGGGAGGAAAACCAACACCCCTCTGAGCATGTGCAGAGTGCCTTTCCCTCCCCCTCCCCCCACGTCACAGCCACCGGGGTCTGCAGCCCGCAAGACGCAGCTTTCTTTCGGGAAACCCTCTCCTGCTCCTGCTCCCAATTCCCTCGGGCTTCGGGGTAAGGGAAACCCACCGACCCGGCTTACCTGCTCCGCTTCCCGAGGCTTCGGAGAGGAGTAGGCCGCGCTCCCTCTCCCCGTCGCCTAGCAACGGCAGTCCCGCTCCGGCCCCTCCCTTCGGGTTTCCAGCGGGTTGAAAGCCACGCGGCTCCTCGGAACCAATGGCAAAGGAGCGCTGCGTCACGTGGGCCTGTCAGCCAAACAGAGGCCGGGAAGAAGGTGGGGAAAGAGCGTCCTAGCAACGGGCTGGCTCAGGGGGAGGAGGGGAGAGAAGGCTGCGAAGGCAGAAGCCCCAGAGGGATGCTGGGAAATTGCCTCTTCCCAAGGATGCTGGGGAAGAAGGGCATGATGGGAAATTCCCTCCCAAAAGGTTCTGGGAAAGATGGGGCAGTGAAGGGGCGGCCATTTTCTCACTTGGGCACAGATACTTTTAACTTTAGAGTGTTTTAAAAGAGTGGCTGTTGGCTTTCCTTGATTTTAATGTTTTATCTTTTTGTAAACCGCTATATAAATATTATTATTATATTATTATTATATTATTTGCGTTTCTAATACAATTCTATATCTGGGAAATGAACGAAAAAATACAAAGACCAGAAAGAAGAAAACTCTGAAATAGAAAAAAAAAATAACAATTTTATGATATTGTTTTCCTCCTCCGATTTCCCATCCTCTCCTTCCATGGTTCCTTTTGCCTCCTCTTTTTCTCACGTTTCTTGGTTCACGCCATCTATTGCAACTGCTTATATACACATTAGTTTTTTCTTACCCTGCTGAAAATCTTACCATCCTGCTAGGTTAATTGTTTGTTTAGAACTCATTTTCATATATTCATTAAAAAATACCCAGTCCTCCTTATATTTTTCATCATTTTGATTTCTTCTTCTAGTGGTCATCCCTGCTAACTCTGCGAATTCTAACAGTTTAAAAAAATTGTGTACATGTAAAAAAATGTATACATTTTATGAAATAATTAATAAAATGAGTAAATACTTGAGAGCAAATACCTTGCTGAACTCATGTGGCGCTTGCTTGTCAATGGGCACTCACAAGGCACCCGCAGAATCAGTGTGTGCAAAGCACTGAACTAGAACTGGGATTTCCTCCCCACACCATTGGAAAGGCACATAGCCTCCTCCCCTGTCAGGTAGGTTGGGCCAGCCACTGACTCTCAACCCAGAGCCTACCTCACAGGGTTCTCATGGGGATTAAATGAGGCGAGCAGAAGGATGTACGTTACATTGAGCTCCTTGGAGGAAAAGGTGGGATATAAATGCAGTTATTAAAACAGTAATAAATAATAATAATAATATATAAACAGTTGCACTAGATGGAGCCAGCCCAGGTTTCACTAACATAATGGGGATTTCCCGCTCTCCTCCCCCATGTGTCATAATGTTCCTCCCCACCAAGAAACCCTGAGGGGGTCAATAAAAACCCCAGAACAGCATGCAAGAAATGCTTGCTCTGATGGAACTATCATAGTGTGACATTGTTGGGAGCTGGACTAGGGATCCTTTCTGATATAAGTATAAAAACTGCTCCTTTTCCCATATAGAGTCCTTTGTAGGTTCTCTATCAGTAGGAGAAACTAACAGAGACCAATCAGAGAATATTGAGAAGCAAAGCAGCTAGTAAGCCTGATCTTTATTAACTGTTGCAACAGGATGTTCCCCTTACACGCAGGAGAGGAGAAGGACCCAGAGCCATGCGTGCAAGCCCTTATACAGTGATACCTCTGGTTGCAAACGAGATTCATTCCGGAGGCCCATTCGCAACCTGAAAAGAACGCAACCCACATCTGCGCACGCGCGGGTCACGATTCGCCGCTTCTGCGCATGCACGTGACGTCATTTTGCACATCTGCGCATGCACGAGTGGCGAAACCCGGAAGTAACCCTTTCCGGTACTTCCTGGTCGCCGCGGGACGCAACCTGAAAACGCACAACCTGAAGCAAACATAACATGAGGTATGCCTGTATAGACATTTTAAATTGCCCACCCTGGAGTCCAAGACCACCCCCAGAAACATCATACATACATCACAGAAAAGGGGGTCTACAACAGAAATCTGAGTGTGTTGTTTATCTCCTGTCTGGCAAGTTACCTGATTGCATTATCTGGGTTTTGGCCACTCTTTTGTTATTATAACTACTTAATTCCTGAATCTGGGTCACAGGCTCACACCCTGTTCATATCTTGAATGTGCCCTTAAGGCAGGATATGTGAGGAAAGAGACAATGGGGAGGTTTCCCACTTTGACCTTGCAGAGAAATATTTGAGGTCAATTTGTTCAGGACCTAATCTGTGGTGTTTCAGACATGTGGTTTATATATATAGTTATGAACATTTAATTTATATATATATCTATATATGACCTTAAAATTCTTATAACAATTTCCAACCCTACAATTCCATGATTCTATGATTCCTCCCTTTGTTCCATTATTTTATTGGTTTTAGTTAGTTGCATCATTTCTTTGTAATAAACTTGATTGTTATGCAGTATTGTTAGGTGTGATGCCATTGTTAATTTATGCCCATTGTGAACTGCGTTTGAATGCAGTATCTGCAGGAAAAGAGCATTTCAACAAACCTGGCTTGACAGCCTTGAAATATGAGTATCTCACCAGTTCCAATGATTAAGCTGTTTAAAGCCGTGCTTGGCTGGGACCAATTTAAACTATATTATTGGGTGATTAAAGGAAAGTAGTGAAATAAAAAATATATTAAATGTTCATAAATGTACCAACCAAGCTCATACATAGATGTGTGGACCACATGTCTGGAGCAGCACAGGAGGACCACCCTGAAACCATTTTCATTCCCAACCTGGAGGTGGGGGAGCCTCCCCATTGTCTTTTTGTTCACAAATCCTGTCTTAAGTGCATATCTGTGTATGAATAGGGTGAGCCTATGACCTGGCTCAGGAACTAAGTATTTATCATTACAAAAGACTGGCCAGGCTCCCCAGGGTATCCAATCAAGTAAGCATTAATAGGTAACCTGCCAGACAGGAGGTAAACAATCCACTCAGATTTCTGTTGTAGACCGCCCTTTCTGTGATGTAGGTATGATATATCTGGGGGGTGGTCTTGAGCTACACTGCTTCTGTGATGTAGGTATGATGTTTCTGGGGGTGGTCTTGGACTCCAGGGCAGGCAATTTAAAATGTCTATATAAGGGCAGACACACCTTTGTTCTGGGTCCTCCTCCTTTCCTGCGTATGAGGGGAGCACCCTGTTGCAACAGATCAATAAAGATCAGGCTTACGAGCTCAGTATTCTCTGATTGGCCTCTGTTCTTTCCCCCGACCAATGGAGAACCTACAAAGGACCCTATAAGGGCTCTTGTGTCCCCCATAAGGGAATAAGGGCAGATTTACGTTTATTACAGTAGCCAGGGAGATCTCTGGGCCTCCAGTTCCTGGGAATCACAAGAGGGGAGAGTGTTTTGGGGATTTCCACAGGCGTTTGGCCACTGTGAATACAGGATGCTGGACTAGATTCGGCAGTTCTTATCATTGCACTGTGCTCTCTTCTCATACGTCTCCATTTTAGGGGAATCAGCAACGGAAGACGAAAAACTCGCAAGACGAAAGAGTTTTTCGTTTTTTGAGTTGCTTCGCAAGACGAATTTCCCTATGGGCTTGCTTCGCAAGACGAAAACGTCTTGCAAGTTTGTTTCCTTTTTCTTAAAACCGATAATACCCAGGGTGCATTGCTTGAAGAGGTGCAGTTGCAACTTGACTTCGAGGAGCAACTCATAGCACGCGGTGTGGTAGCCTTTTTTGAGGTTTTTGAAGACTTTGGTGATTTTTGAAGCTTTTCCAAAACTTCTTTTGCAGCCATTTGGTAAGTTAAACTTTTAAAACTTTTTTGGGGGGTTTTGGATTTTGGGTTGGGGTGTTTGGAATTCAAGGACTTGGTGTTGGGGAGGGGTTTGCAAGAATCTGGAAGCTTGTGTGTTTTTTTCCTGCATTTTTATGATTTTTTGTGACCATTGGGGCACTCTGCTGTTGTTTAAAAAAAAGATTTCTGGGTTTGGATTTCTGTGTGGTGGGTGGCTGGGGGGGTCAGGGAATTGTTGAGAAGGGGTTTGCAAGAATCTGGAAGCTTGTGTGTTTTCTGGGAGGTTTGGTGCTTTTGAATTTTTTGGATGTGAAGCACTGATTTGGGGGGGGCGGGTTGCGAAGGTAGGAGCTGTGCTGCCATGGGGCCCAAGAAGACTGCTGCTGCAGACCTCGTCCGGCAACAGCCAGGAACCTCAGGCGAGCCAGAAGTCGTCAGCGAGCTGGTGGAGGAGCACGACCACGAGCTGACCACCCAGGAGCTGGTCGAACTGCAGGCAGAGGCTGCGCAGGAGCAGGCCTCGCTGGAAGAGGAGGAAGCAACTGAGGAATGGCTGTCCTCCAAAGCCCTGAGGGACATTTGCCAGAAGTGGAAAGATGTGCAGGCTTTTGCACAGCGGCACCACCTGACAAGGACCTGACACGTGACCTTGCGAACACTTTTTATACGAGGGTCATGTCGTCTTTCAGGGAGGTGCTGAAAAGGCGGATAAAGCAGCAGACCATGGACAGGTTCTTCAGTAAGAAGCAAAGAGTGGAAGAGGAACCTTCTTCGAGTTGTCCCCCAGAGTCTTAGAAAATGTATGTACAGTACACTTTGGTGATTTTTAAATGCTTTTCTGTCATGTTTAGAAACTTAAATTATTGTTCCTTCAATTTTTGAAATGCTCTTTACAGTATGTGTGACTTTAAAGAGCACTTAATAAACTCTTGTTGTACCAAATTTGGCTTTGTTTGGACTTTATTTGACCATAGGAACGCATTAATTGATTTTCAGTGCATTCCTATGGGAAACCGTGCTTCGCAAGACGAAAAATTTGCAAGACGAAAAAACTCGCAGAATGAATTAATTTCGTCTTGCGAGGCACCACTGTACTGATTTCGCACATGGCTCCCCTTGGCTATGCCACAAAAGACTGAATGGTGCTTTGGGGCTTTGTGACCTCTGCCACAGCGTGACCGTTCAAACGGGGCGTTAGCCTTTGTCCTCTTCTGTTTATTCACAAACAGGGTTGTTTTTTCTTGAAGACACAGAAATCTGCCTAACCTTCTGGTTTCTTGGAGAGTCACAAAGCCAAAGGCTTTGTTTTATGTAGCCGACATTGGCAGAGACTTTAAAGAGAAACAGTGGTTCGAAGACGTTTTCTCACAGAAGCGTGTGATAAATTGTAAAGACTTCTGGGGAAATTATTTTTAGAAAAAGAAGCCGCTGCCCTGGATGGCAGTGATCCATTTGTGTCCTCAAGCTGCGGCGCAGAGGAGAATTACAGCAAAAGGTTATCTTTAAAGTAAGATGAAGAAGCAGACTTGGACAAAGTTTCGCATCTGGTACAGCTTTTCTTTCATACAGCAGCCAAATGACTTAAAAGCAGGAAAATGAAGGGGAAATTATCTTCCCCATTGTTTGTCCCCAACAATTAACATTCTGGTGGTAGGATAACCAGCCTCATATAACCAAAATGCTTAAGTCCAACTAATGCATGTAGGGGTTAATGCTGTCCTGCCAGGCTTGGCTAGGTCACTCTTCCTCACCTTGGGAGGAAGGAAAGAAAGTCTATTGTTTCCCTCCATCTGTCTATGTGCAAAGAGGTCTGAGCTGGTTGCTCCAAGTTTAAACCGCATGCCTTTTCTACAAAGCCATTCTTGTGTTCCTATACCAAATAATTTAGTACCTTTCACCACTTTGGAACTAACCTAAGTTTTGCTGCTTGTGTTTTCT